CAAATCTAAAGTTTTATTTTCAAGTAGCCTTATTTGGTAAGCCAATATCCTGTTAATAAAGGCATCCCTTATAAATTCATCCCAGGATTGTTCTGTTGTCAATACCTTGAAGTTGTAGTTTCAGCTTAGTATCTTTAGGGCCTGTAGGCTCTGATTTAAATTTTCACCCAGTTGTTGTTGACTTACAGCAAGTAGGTGATGAGCAAAAGTTTTTTTTTTTCATGATCAGCTCGTCAAAAATGCTGACAACAATTTCATTGTCCTTGCAAGAAAAAATATTTGTATAAATCTGCATGGAAACATGGTGAATAAACAGAGTAAGCTTTTCAGTCCTTGGTATTCTCATCAATGAGGAAATCTCTGGAGCTGCAAGAAAGCTACTGAATAAAGTTTTCCAGTAGTACCAACAATCAGTAGTATCTGAGCCAGATGCATCTTGTTCTAAGCATTCCAGCTTCAGACACTTGTCCATAATTACACTGAATAAATTGTAAAGAAAAACAGATGAACCTTTAAGTATGTAATTAAGTTTTATTCAGTGCAATTTGACCACAACCCATATGTGAGATTCAACAATTACTTTTATAGTACTGTAGGTCAAAACAAATATGGTTGCCTTCACCACTTATTAAAGTAATAAACTAAAATGTTCTCCTAAGTAGTTGGTCATTTTTTATCTTATGATTTGATTTTTTTAACAACTTCATGATAGTTTGGCCATTCCTGACACCATGTTTTATAATAACTCAGGTGGGTTTATAATAGCTTCAGTAATAATGACAAAAACTATTATCTGCACTCTCTAAAAAAAGGAAACAACAACAAAACAAAGGGCACAATCCAATGCCAACACAAAATAACTATAGAAAAATATCATTTCCTTAATTTGGATAAAACATTGGTTGGTCAAGGTCAAAGTTCAAATAATACATTTTGCTGAATACACTTGGAAAATTGTTTACAAAAATTTTGAAAAATACAAAATAAAACACTGTATGATAGGATATAAATTGATGAATAAATAATATTAGTATGATAATTAGGTGCTGCCAAAGATTCACTAAAATATAAGCATACATGATAAAAAAATGTCCCAAACTTAATAAAAACAAAGTTTTATTGTCAAAATTTTTATGCTATTGTTAAGAGGAAAGATCAGGGGGTTTTTTTTATTTAAAAATATATTTTTTAATTCTTTTAAAAACCATTGAAACTTTGGTTAAAAATCTGGTTTCTCGGGTGTCAACATTGTATCATAAATTAATATGACAAACATACTGATTCAGAAATTCTTGCAAAAATCAGATAATTGTCAAATTTTAATTAAATTTTGCAAGAAAATTTGTTTACATCTGTTAACCCCTCACTTATTTAATTTTAGGAAATTTAGTGAAATTCTTTTTGTAGCACTTAATGTTTCTATTAGTTATAAGGACATGTCCTCAGAGAATTTAAATCATGAAATTTTGGAGCCCAAACAGGATATCTAGTTACAGAAAAGATTTTAATTTCTTTTATGTATAAAATATATTATCGACACTATTGTCTTAAGAAAATTTTCTTTTTGATGAATAATGAATTTTTACAAGAATTGTCATAATTTTTTTAAAATTTGATTACAATAATTTATAAACTTTTAAAATTCTGTATTAATTTGTAGCAGTCAAAAGATATTGTTATTAAATTAAGACTATTTACTAATTATAAATAGAAAAACTCACTACAATTCAATGACCCATAATATTTTTAAAAGAATTTTGAATTTATTTTATGTGTATATAAATATGTCAAGTTTTGTAAACACAGATGTCCAAACACAACATTATCACAAAACAAGAGCAGCAACTATAGTAAAATTAATATTTATTGGTAATTTTTTAACATTTCTTTAATAAGTATTTTTATAAGTTAGGAAATAGAGAAAAAGTACCTAAAATTTAAAAAAAATGTTAGAATGCTTAGGATATTTTCTTAAGTTTTTAAGATTACTTGGTAGTTAAAAAAATTGCATAAAAACAATATTCATATTATATTCGTTAAGTAATTACTATGATTATGTACCTCCTAAAAAAATTCCCAAGCATAAGTCTATCAAGAAATGTATCAATACCTCATAAAAATGTTTATCTCCATGTTATAAAATGCTTTTAAACTAATAGTAATACTTGTTAAAAGAATGTTTTATCTGGGATAGAATGGAATAAGAAAGAACATCCACTCTCTTATCTCAAATGTTAAAAATGGTGCATAGAATAACAAACAAGACTTGAAGGCACTATGCAAAATTAGAAAGCTACACATATTTATTATACAGATATATAACAAAGTACAAATTTAAAAAAAAAAAAAAAAGCTTGCACAAAAATTTCCTTTCATGCGCCTTATGCAAGGTAACATAACAAAACTATAGAAATAATTTTCAAATCATAAAAGAAAAAAAAAATTTTGAGAAGGTGATATGAAAACTTGAAATTAGAGAAGAAATTACTCTTAGAAAAAAAGGTGTACCTATCTAATTGATAAATGAAAAAAACCTACATGCATTTCCCTTGAGAGTGTCAGGGAAGTTTTAATATTTTTACAATGTTGTTCTATTTTCTTTGTTTGGGTCCCACATGGTTCACTGGGTTTTGTTTTTGCTTTACCCATGAGTTTCCGGGAAGTTTTGCCTTATTCTAAAATGTCTCATCAGCATAGATTTTAAAAATGCTGAAATCTTCCTGCCCTTTTCTGTTGGTGACTTTCACATGAAGTAGCCTTAAACCTTTCAACTGCCAGCCTTGTTCCATCTCTGAGATATATCACCCTTTTGCCCACCAATGTCTAATTCCTGCTGACATTTAACTACATTCTAGTGTTCATCCATTGACTTGTCTTAAATATCTTTGTGGGTGGACCAAACAAGCTTCAACTTTAAATTTATGAGAGAATAAATCATTCTTTAAATTGGGCAAAAAATAGGGGGGGCAATATATTTTTTCAAAATTTGAAAAATGGTTCCCCAAATATTCACCATAACAGTTGCTTTTGGCAGTCATTTTTAGTGCCAATTCTAAAGAAACACAAGACCATTTTTAATTCACCATCTGACTTACTTTTAATACACTTCTCCCAAAAGTGTATAAAACAAAGTCAAACTATTTAACATTTATTTATTCACAATTTTTAATTATTTTATACTACTAATAAAAATGTTTTTATTATTTCAAATCATATTGATTAATCTTTAAATGAGTTAATCTTCCTCGATTTTCAGAAAAGTATATTTATGAAAGATTTAAGAGAATGATGTTATATTGACAGGTTTGTCAAGATGGACAATTTTAACATTTTTACTGATAATAAAAACAAGCTTGTTGCAGAATTTATGCTAAGTAAGATGTGTCAGAAGATGAAATTGTGTGAAGGCCTAAAATGTGCGTGTACATTATGCATTTATCCACAACAAATAAATTAAATGAACATATAAAGACAATACAACTTGAAGAAATCAAGGAAAAAACAACGTAGTTATAGATTTCAACAATAACATGAATTTATATATATATTTGACATACACAAAGTGATGATAGGTTGCTTGTTAAATGTGGCAAGTGAGATAAGATTGCAAAGAGTGTCCATGCAGAGATTTGGTGAATGAATGTTGATGGTTTAAATTTGTTTGTGAAATTAAAACAGTTTGATTTCTGCAAGGTAAAATATCAATTGTGCGAGTTCAATTAATAGTGTGTATGTGTGTGACAATTATAAGTGTTGAGTCAAGTTATGAAGAGTTGTGTACCTTTCACTGATATGCTAAAGTTGATTAAATGTACAATTACTATTTCGTAGTGATAATGTCACTTTTTTAGTAGATTGTAAGTTAAGTTTCTTCATGCGGAAATAGTAGTGCGAGTTGATGAGAGGCTGGTAGTGTTATTGAGTCAGCATGTTGGCACACGTGGAGTCTGCTGGCATTTCTCAAAACTCAGTGCCTGACTGACTTGAATTAAGTTGAGCGATTTTTTTTTTATAGATTTTTGCGTTTTCAAATAGGCTCCAGACAGCTGCGCGGAAAAAAGGATTTGTCTCAACTTGCTACATTTTTGTGTCCTTTTAACCAATGGGAAGTTGAGTTTGGAAAAGTGAAGTGATGATTGGTTAAAGGTTAATTTGGGAAAGAGTGCATCTTCCTGTAGGGGGTGACAGGCAAGTATGGAGGATTCCATAAGCTCATTCTAATCAATTTAAAGTCAGTTTGAAATACAACAAAGTATTTTGCTTATTGGAAATATTAAATTTAATCTATTAGCTTGAAATTAAAACTAAGATTTCAAGATTTTTCACTTTTAAAAATTCATTTTTTTTTTACATCAAAATGAATTTTTAAAAGTGAAAAATCTTAATTTTAATTTCAAGCTAATAAAGTAGGTACCTTCAAAGAAAAGCTAAGATTCTTAGCTTTTCTTTGAAGGTACCTAGGTTACTTCGACCATTCTTCTAATATAAAAAGGTCTCTGTTCAAGTTATAATCATAACTAATTTGTTTAGCTTTTTCCTACATAATTAAAAGCAAGGTTTATAATGTAGTCAGTAAAACATTTTTTCAGAATTGTAAAGGTATATTAATTTTATTAACAAGAAAATATTTTTTACACTCAGAATCACTAACTCTTACATTTTTCCAGATATCATCTTTTAACAAAAAATGCAAAAGATATCACGTCTTCAAATAAAAACTCACCAACTACACTTAAAGCCAGCCCTTCGAATATATAATGTTAATTTGAAAATAAAATTGAAAGAAATAATGTGCAAAAATGGAAGTAGAAACAGAGGACAGAAGAAAAATAAATCATTTGACGTCACTTCCCAAAAGTAATTTTCATATGACGTCACTTCCTGATGTGGTGGTCGCCGCCATAATCCACGTGAATTATTTCTATCAGTGGCTGATCTGTCTTCTGTGCATTTCCCTATAAACAGCTGCTGCCGTCCCGAAAAAAAAAAAAAAAGCAAATATGTCCACACACTCATCTAAGAAACAGTCGCAAAGGACCAAAGGCAACGTTCGTGTTAGTGTCATTTCTTTAAAGAATCTTTTTTTGTTGTTGTTTTCTTCGTTTGTTGATAATTGCCTGTTTAAATCTTTCCTTATTCTATCACTTCCTTTTTCTTCTTTTCTCTTCAGTGTACATAAAATTATAACCACGTTGTGCTCTTGTTATTTATTTTATGTTAATGTATGAAGAGGAAAGACCGTCTGCTTGTTTGTTGGTATTGGAGATCCACAATAGTAACAATATTGATTGGCGATCTATATTAAGTTTTTGCAGATTGTTTGGTAAAGTTTGTAAATACAATTCATTACAGCAAACATTCTGGAAGTGTTAAGTAACGTTTTAAAAATGTATTTAGGATTTTACCTTCTTATCGGATCTTCAATATTTACATTATTTATGCAGAATCTAAGATGAAAGAAAGAAGAAAACTGTTTATCTTCGACTGTCTTGGTTTTCTACATATTGTGAAAATAAAAAACGAAAACATAAAAATGTCATTTATGTTTAGTAATTCCTGTTGTAAAGGTTATTTTTATTTTCCGGACCAGCTGTTTAAAAGTGACATTTATACTTTAAGAGAAAATAATCAAAATAAATTAGCTTTTTGAATTGCTTGTACATAATATGGATTGTAGACGTACTTTGTTTTTTTTTATTAGTGTTGACAGTGACACCGTTTCGACACCTGATGATAATGTGTGCTCTATCTTTTTTTTTTTTTTTTTTTTAGTGCTAAGGATAAAAAATTTGTTAATAATAAAATCACGTTAGTACCTCTCTTTTGATGAATAAAATATATTGATCATAAAAATGGGATGAGTTGAATGAATGTCTTAAAAATCCCAATTTTAAGAAAACGACATTATCTTAAAAACGTGTGTCTTGTCAATTTGTAGTTTACTTTAGCATTTCTAGTTTCTACTCTGGGTTCCGTTAATAAATTTTAAATTTTAAAATGGTTTTGTTAAAAATGTATTGAATTCCACAGTTTTTCATGTCATAATTTGACCCTTTGAAAAAAACTGATTACATTTCTAATTCCACGCCAATTTCATTAGATTGCGTAATAAAAACAAATTATAGTTCATTTCAGTAAGTGTATATTTTTTTATCATATCTTTCAAGACGATAATTTTATGTGTCTAACTCTACTACACAGTTTTCTCGTACGCATAAAATAAACTAAACAAATACAACCTGGTTGTTGATTTACTGTGCGCGTAAATCTAGTAATTAAATTAACATAATTTAAATTACTTTCTTATCTACATTGTGAGGTATAAACAAACAAGTTACAAATGCAAAGTAAAGACTAAAAAAAAAATCATTAAATCTGTCGTGGAAATAAAAAGATATTTCTACGATAAATAAATTATAGCTGAAAAATAAAATTCTTCACTTAAAAAAAATGTCATGTTTTTAAGATTTTTTTTTAAATTATTTTTTTAGTATTTTATTAAAAATAATTTTAATGTCGATAAATGTGTATGATACTGTGTGTATGTGTGTGCAGAGAACAGCAACGGTTAGATTTAGGGTTTCAAAGGGTCTTCTTATTTATTCAGAATAAATTTTATTCTGAATTTAAGAGTTATTGAATATGAATTTTCGTCCGATACGGAACAGTAGTCAAAGGCGGTAATTCAGAAGCATTTCCTTTTTTAACATCCATTTGCCCCCCACCCCCAAAAAAAAATGAGTGGAAAAAATTTAAGAAATGGAAAAATTGCATTGTAAACTTAGCATTTTTCAATTCTTTAATTAAAAAAAAAAAAAAAAAATTACCAAGAGCAACAGGATAAATTTCAAAATAACAAGTATCTTATATTTTTTTATTTTTTTAAAATATTTTTCTGTCCAATAAAATTAAATTATGCATCAAGATATTTTATTTTTATTTTTTGAGTTTTATTGAATTATTTTTGTTAAGTCCTATGACGAAATTTCCCATATGTTTGGTTCACACTTTGATATTGATTGCATAATACTGAGGTAACATCTTCAGGGATTTTTCTTAAAAAAGATTTCGCGACACCCCCTTCAAATTAAAAGTAGATACAAGATATCGTAAAGTTGTAGGTGCAAAAAACACATTATTTTTCTAATAAAATAACTTACAATTGAATTCATTTCTTAATGAATAAGTACTGAAAATTTCGCTTGAATTTGAATTCTTTGAGTTTTTGCCAAATCTTTTAAAACAGGGGTAGGGATTTTTTTTTTAGCTTTCATTTTGGAAAAATGCATCCATTTTGGTACTTCTCTAAATGATCAAATGCAACATAATTCTTCATTCTACTAAGCTTAAATAAAAACAATAAAAAAATGATAATTAAAATAAAAACTATTGGTTAAAAAGTAAGAATAAGATTAGAGGGTTTTTTTGTTTTTTAAATACCAATTTCTTGATTTTTTTTTTTTTTTTTTTTTTTTGCACTACTAATGTCCGTATTTCTTTTAATTTTTATTTTTTCGCGCGTTTTTTTTTTTTTTTTTTTCTTCTCAAGCTGGTATTGAAATTATACACTACTACGGTTTCTGTTTTTGACCTATGACATCACAGGTTACTGTGTGTACTGTAAATAAACATTATTTTTATTAAGTTTTAGGTAAAAAGCAAGCATTATTTTTAAATCCAGTTAATTAATCCATAAATTTACTAACTGACGTATGACTTTGAAACACATCTCTACTCTAGGACATCTGGATTTTAAGAAATTAAAAAAAAAATTGTTGTTTATATTTGATGGCGGTTCGATGAGTGAACGTGCCAATATTTTAAAAAATAAAAATGCTTAAAGTTTTTATTTATATACGGAAGAAACTATTTTTTTTAATAGCCTTTTAGGCTATTATCTTTAAATTAAAACTAAAAATTAATTTCAAAGAAGGCATTTTTAAATTATTTAAAATGGGTTTTTGAGGATTTTACAAGTCCGTGGTAGTACCCAATTTATTATAAGAAAATTACATCTCATGCCAAAACTTAACTTGAAGTTTATTTTCAACATGAATAAATTAAGATTTTACTTTTAATAATGCTTTAATTAGTCTGTCATTTATTTTAAACTTACCCTTCTTATTTGATTATTTTAAAAAAATTGATTATTTTGATTTATTTTTAAGTTAATTGTTTCTTTTGCTAAAGTAAAAAAATATACTGTAATTCGGACCTAATTAAGATTTTCGCATGTGAATTTTTAAAAAATATTGTTGAACTCTGCTCTTTCATGGAGTTGGTCTTCTTTTCACATCCCTACTCTTGAAATACCCAATAAATTGTTTGTCATTGTCATAAGAAAGACACTGTCTTGCTGTGACTATTGCAATGAAGGTAATTCCAATGCCTTTTTGCATGTTGAAGAGTGAGATATTTTTAGCATCTTTATTTAATTACACTAGTAATAGGTACTTCACTTTTTAGCTTTTGAACATTCTATTTTTTTTTTAACAGTGAACTGATTTCTGGAAATAAAAAAGGTTTTGTACAGTCAATCCAATATTTGGAGGAAAAAAGGTCTTTATTAGCTGTGTGGAAAATTGTTATGAAAACAAAAAATGTTGCATGCTACTTCTGTTCTTATTTAATATGTATTTATTTGCATATTTGTAAAGCATCCAATAAAAATCAAATTCACTCAAATGAACAAATGTCACATTGCAGGATTACTGGAAGGGCCAGAGTTTTTTTTTAGTTTTAAACAGTGTTCATTTGTTTAATTCATAAAATAAATAATAACTTTGTTACTCACAGGTTGATTCCTACAAAAATCATCAATAAAAAAATAATAAACAAAAAATTCTGACCACTTTTTTGGCTATTAATTTAAAGATATTTTACACACAATGTTCTACATCATCTTTTATATTTACTTTTACTTTTGAAACTCAAAGACTGAAAGGGTTTTTAAAATTATACAATTATCAGCTGGAATTTTCAGTTAAGTCTATATGATTAATGCCGAAACATCAGGTTAAGTACATTGCTAATAGTAATTAAGTGGAAGAATAAATTTATACTTTTTTATTTTAAATTTTTCATAAGGTTACAGACTTATGTACATTTACTAACTATCTCCCCTCCCATTCCAAAGAATTTTATATTAAGAATATTAAAATGAGAATAAAAGAATATGCTTTTATAGTGTTTATATTTTCAGGCATAATTTCAGATTTATTTACAAATTCTAAAAATAGAGAACAAAAGTTATGTGCTTTCTATCATCATCAAGAGGAGGCATGGTGGACTAATGGATAGCGGTTCGGATTGAGGAATCGGAGTGCTGAGTTCAAATTCCAGTCAAATCCATTACATTCACTTACATGCTAATATCCTTGCAAGAGGTATGAATCCTCTTCTTTTCCCCCTAGCTATGAGTAAATAGCAGGACAGACCAGGTTCTCATTGCCTTACATGTCAACTGGTCTACCACAGAAAGAAATGGCAACCTACTGTGGGAAAAAAATCTGCCTCGTCAGTCATGTATCAAAAGATACATGATCACCTCAGCATGTATCATGCATGGCACTGACTAAAAAAAAAAAATCATCATACTTCAGTTGAGAAAGGATTAAACCACACCCCTTATTATTCCCCAATTCAATTCAAATCTTATTATTCTGCTTGTCCCTCTCTTAGCACAACCATTACACCCTGCCTATAACACATAATGGATGGTTCTGTTTTAATCGCAAGGAAAGACATAAACTACATATCAGACACTGTTTGATTTCAGTGAGAAAATAATAATAGTCAAGTTTGAGATATCTCCAATGATGAGTCATTGACAAAAATTTACGCAATGCCAACTACACATATAAATGCTGCAAAACTCAGCTTTGTTCAAGGAATGAGAGCCTTGAAAACAACCCAAGAGGAAGACTTAATTCAGCCATAAAAAAGACTGCTTGAATGCATTGCTTCTTGGACAATCTGAAAATAGTCAGAAATAATCAAGAGAATTTGAAGCATCATGCAAGTCTATCTATTATTATTTAAAAGCCACTGGAAAAGTGAAGAAGGTGGATAAATTTTATTGCATGAATTCACTAAGAATCAAAGAAACTACACTTAAAATGCATACACATGCTTAAAATGTACTGTCTTTAATAACAGTAAGTGAACAGGGTTGGATTTAGATGCACGTGTCTCTAAAACCACCTGAATTGCAAAAAGATCATGGCTACTGTGTGGTGGTCAGCAAAAGGCATCATTCATTATTCATTTTTGCTACAAGGTAAATCAATTACAGCCAATTTGTATTGCAACAAAATTGATTGTATAAAAGAGAAATTAAAAAAGAAACATCATTGACTAGTGACCTATTTCTACTCCATGACAATGTACTGCCTCGCATGTCATAGTCCACCATACTAAAGTCATATAGCTTTGGTCATGAGATTTTGGAGCATCCATCTTATTCCCAAGTCAAATCACTTGCACCGATTATCGCTTATTTAAATACTTTGAGCTGTCGGCAATATTTAACCTTTGTGCCCACAAAAATGGTGTATGAAAAAGACGATTAATCCCTTGACACTGCTATTACTGTATACACTTTTGACTCCATTGGAAATGTTTATTTAAAAGATTATAAAAATATGTGAACCAAGTACAATCCAATATTTATTATTTACCATTTTATAAAGAAATAAATTTGAAAAGAATTCTTTTTATTCAAAAATTTATAAAATATTACAAAATTATCAAAATATGTAAGGAAAAGATGCTCTTGACCTATTTTAATGAATTTGTGATGAAAGCAAATGAAAGAAATGCTTGGAAAATTCAATTTTATTTTTCTCTTCAAAATTTATAATTACAATTATTCAATGTTACGTGATTAAAATTTTCTTGTTCACAGACATTTTTATAAATTTATGAATAAAAATTCCTGTTTATAAATAATTATAGTTTGTTCACATTTATAATATTGACAATGAAAATTATTTTTGTAAAAAATAATAAATCTAATAAATAGATAGTATTTAATGTCTTTGTCATTTATCAAGTATAAAGAAACTATAAATCCACTTCCATTTATTTAGGTTTTATTAAAATTCTAATTATTGCTTTTTAAAACAATAAACATTTTCAAGGGAGTCAAAAGTATATACAGTAATCTCGGTGTCAAAGGAATAACTGTCCTTTTGACACTTTTTTTTTTTTTTTTTTTCATGCATGAAGGTTAAACATTGACAAGCTTTCTATAGGCATTAGAAAATTCTCCTATGGTGATGGAGTAGTCAAAGCATTTAACAGTTTATTAAGGCAATATATGAAGAGTTTTTTTTAAAAAGGGTATCATCATCATCATCCTTCAACCTCTCTGTGGTTAGTTGGAACTCCATTAACAATCCCTTTCCAGACTGCTCGGTCCTGCATAAAGGGGATAATTAGGTTAGTTGTTAGAAGAAAACCATAGAACAAAATAGATGTTATTTTGACTACATAAAAGTTCATTTTCATTAAATAAAAATATTTTTTCTCCTTCATCAAATAGTAATGGTAATATAAGGAAATATTCAGTTATTTTATTGAGCATGTAGATTTATTTTGGTTGCAATTTATAAAATCTTTCTCTTAAAACAATTTTTCAGAAAAATAGTTTACTCAAGTCTCTATCCAGTAGTGATGGGAGTTTCCTTCCTTGCCTTTTGTTTTGGGTAGAGTGGAACATCATCTTAATTATGTCATTATTCTCTCTTACATGTGATATCCATTTTAGTTGCAGCTTCTTTTTGAAAGTCCTCAACTAATGTGATTTTTGTTATCTAGTACAATGCTATGTTTGTGATTCTGTAGCACCAGTCCATGAGGTTTGATGAAGGATGGTCCTCACTCAGGCTGATACACTTCTCTTGCTCAAAGCCATTTTTGACCATTGATCTGAGAAAGTGGTTGTATATAGTCAAGTTTAGATATTTCTGAAAGAGTTTGGCATTATACATGACATCCGCATGAAAGTCAATTTCCTGCTTTTAATCATTTTTTTATTTTTAATCATCATCCTATTATTTGGCTGAGATCATCGCAGCATTTTCTTATCAAATTACATGCTATATTTAATAGCATTTTAGATGTCCGACATTTACATGTAATATTATAATATTGTTGGGTTAGGCTGAGTATAAGTACTGGTAGTCTACCATTGTGAATATAGAAAATAATATCAAAATAAAAAAAATAACTTTGAGTTTTGTTTTGTAACTGATAAACACATCATTAACAAACAAAAATAGTCAAATTTTGTCTCACAAAATTCTGTAGCTATGTGGTTAAAAGCAGTGATGTTTTTTTTGTTTTTTTTCTTCTCTCTCTCTCTCTCTCAATGGAGTTCAGGAATTTTCTTTGCTTGGACTATTCATGACAACATCCTTATTTATTAGATGTCAATGATCCTTTTTCTAATCTTCTAATGTTTATTGTTTTCATATAGCCGTCCAGCAGCAGACAGGCAGCCCAACTTCTTAGCGAATCAGGGACCACCACACAAGGCTTTATAGGGTTTGGCACATTTTCTGGTGAGCCAGCTTATGTGCCAGCTGCAGATCTTGATAATGTTGGGGACATGAGTCTTGATGCTGACCTGAGGGTACTGCTCAGAAAGTTGTCCAAAAAGGACAGCATCACAAAAATAAAGGTAAGAAAGCTTCTTTTTTTTTTTCTCTCTCTTTAAAAAAAAAAACTAAAATGATTTGAGTATGGAAAAAGAAACTTGATTATTTTACTTGAATGCACACATGCAGGACAAATAATTATATTTAACTAGTTCTACCTAAAGTATCAAAAATATCAACATATCCTTACTATTATTAGGTTATTTTTCCAATTATTAATCAACTGCAAGAAGATAAATTATCGTCATCAATAAATGAAAAGGCTCCAGGTGCAAGTTATGAATTGGAGATATAAACATCAATCAAGTACAGAAGTTTAAATATCTGGGAAATGTTTTAACAGGGAATGGAAAATGCAATACTGTAATCCAATAACACATTGGACTAGTGAAAGAAACATTCCAAAAGCTAAGCAAAGTTCTGGAAAAGGGGAAAAAATTCATTAGAAAAGAAGGCTTGATTGCTATGTGTATCCATCCTCTTATATCACAGTGAATACTGGACAATCTCTCCACAGATGAGGAAAAAACTAGAGGCAACAAAAATGTGTTTCTACAGAATGATATTGAAAATTCCATGGATGAAACGAATAAGCAACAAGGAAATCTTAAAGAATATGGCAGCACAAAGAATACTTATTATCGGAATCAGGAAAAGACAGCTGAAATTCTTTAAACACATAATGAGGAAGGAAGGCTTGGAAAATTTAACCGTCATGGGGCATATTGATAGCAAGAGAGAGATAAAAGAAGGCAGAAAGCCACTTACCTGATAAGCTTGTGTGAATGGATGGCCGAACTGAAGGGACGTGACAAAAAGAAGTTGTTTTTTCATCTCTTGGCTTTAACATTTTGATCATTTTGTCGTCAATGCAAGGGAGATAACTCCAGTAAATTTGTCTGTTGGTCTATAATTTCAATATTGTATTTTTAGCTTTTACTTTAAATTTTTCAAATATATTTTTCAGTTCAGCTTCACTTTCTAATTGATGAGATTAATTTTTCCATACTTATACTAATTGTCACTCATTTTCAACTTTTGACAAAATTTCAAATTTTGGAAGATTGAGACTTGAACATGAAAGAGAAATTTTATAAAATTATTTTATTTAACTATTTTTCAGAGTATCCAGGGATCTCCAGGTATTTGAGAACACTCTGTCAGTGGGTTATAAATTGAAGTCATAGCATAATGCTACATGGCATATGCCAAATTTTAAAAATTTTGATTTCCCTATTTGTATAAAAAGCTTTAATGCGACAGCTTCCAACTGACTCAATAAATGAAAAGGCATGCTCTGTTCATGGTACAAGTCACCAAACACAAGGACTTGGAGAAAGTGAACTTCAGGAGGACAAGTAACTCTGTACATACTCCAAAGATACCTACACTTTTATATACAAAGTTCACATGATCTGTGATAGTCCTGAGCAACACAATAATAGCCATATCATGACATTCTATTTTTTCTTATAGGACCTAAGTTTTAATGTCAGTGCTTATATTAGTCTGCTTGGTGCAGTGATCAAGCCAAGGATAAAAAGGTTAGCTATATTTATTCCAACTAGAATCTGCTCCTTTCTACATGACTCAGGAGTGGTTGACTGAGAATTTTCACAATCTTATCACTCTTAATATATGGTTTCTTGACTTTATCCATTTAATTTTTGAATTTTATGACAAAATGTAAATATATTGAAAGAAACAAATTTTTTGATGCCACCTGAAAAGTAATGTCACAAAACTATGAAATCACCATAGCAGATGTTGTTCTTGTCAATGATGAATCAATTTGACAGATTAATGGATTTCATTTTTTAAATTCTTAATAGGCTCTGCAAGAATTTAACTTGTTGATTAAAGACAAGGAAGAAAAAGATGTGAAAGCAGTTCTTCCATATTGGCCCAGGATTTACTCTAAAATGGTTTTGGTAAGTTATTTGATTAAAATATCAAAAATAGTTCTGTTTTACTTAGAGTGAATCAAATTAATAAACAACAAAGCTTATATTTGTTTAGATGGACAAACAAATGAAAGATGAACAATGTAATACTTTTGTTTATTGAATTATGGGATTTGATTTCATAGATGAAGCATTTTTCTAACAAAATGACTGAAAAAATTAGTTTATAAATATGATTTTTTTTTTTTTTTTTTTTTTTTAAACCAACAGTTAATTTTATTAGTGGCTAGCAGTATTTCCTGCTGAAAATCTTTTTTTGCTTATCTATCACATAAGGCATCATATATACAAAAAAATCACTTTGTCTCTTACATAATACAAGGCCCTTCTTGAAATCCATAATTAGCTTTTACTGTTGTTACTGGCCAGTATTTCTATTATATTCCCAGCTAAAATAAGGGAGCATCTTTTTTTTTTTTTTTTTACCAATGTGTTCAAATAAAGTATAAGATAAAGAACAAATAGGAAATGTTTATCAATCTAATGTTTCACTTTTATTAAAGCTTCATCAGAGAATGATACATGAAGAAAAAAATTTTGGTATATTTACTTTTGTGTTGTCTGATTTTCATTGGTCAATCATGTATCATGAGCATTTGACTCTTTTAAAACCAATGTTAGTATAATTTGTGGGGTTCCAAATTCAACGAGAGATGATGCGTCTATCCAAAGTTCCAAAAAGCCCTTTTTGAATTCAGAACACCACAAATTATACTAACATTCGTTTTAAGAGTTGAATGCATGTGATACATGATTGACTAATGAAAATCAGACAACACAAGTAAAAATACCAGAATTCCTTTCTTTTTCTCCATATCTCAGTCTCTAATGAAGCTTTAATAAAAGTGAAAAGTATTAGATTGTTAAATATTTCCTATTTGTTCTTTATCTTATCATTCTGTTGGATTCCGATCCATATTGGGTCCAAATAAAGTATCTAATAGTTTCTCTGTTCTTAATGTTTTTTCAAGGTGTATGCTTTTTTAAGAATCTACCTCATTTTATACTAGTTATGTAATCCAAAATTTCATTTACTCTTATGATCACATATATAATAATATGCCAAATACTAAAATTATATATATTAGAAATAAGCAAATGCTGAAATTTCTATAGTAGATTTAACTTCAGAGCAGAAGGTATGAATAAACATTAATAATTTAAAAGGTTGATCATTTAATACTTAGCTCTCTTTTATTAGAAAACCTATTAAAATTAACTTTATTAACATACCTAGAAGATACAATATATACATTTTGCTCTTGCTCAAGATTATGTTGATTGGATAACATAATTATATAATTTAATTAAAGAATATGCAACAGTCATTCACAAGGCTATAAATGAATAAAAATCATATGTGGTGGTGCTGAAAAGTTTCTTGACTTCATCCCTTTTCCTGCTTTTAATCATTTTTTTATTTTTAATCATCATCCTATTATTGGGCTGAGATCATCGCAGCATTTTCTTATCAAATTACATGCTATATTTAATAGCATTTTAGATGTCCGACATTTACATGTAATATTATAATATTGTTGGGTTAGGCTGAGTATAAGTACTGGTAGTCTACAAATGTCTGGGCAAACAGATGCCTAAAACCTGGGAGATATATTTAGAAACTTTTTAGGGAGAAAAAATGTGGTTGTGGATATCTCATATAATCAAATATAAAAAGTGGCTAAAATCATTTTAACCCTCCACTCCCAATCAATTTTGAGAATTTTTTTTACCAAATTTTGGTATCCAATATTGCATATAGTGTGCACTGAAAATCAGAAAAAAAAACATTCTAAGGAATTCTATTTTTTTTTTTCCCCCCTCAGGATGTTGATCATCGTGTACGAGAGACAGTGCAGCAATCTATGAATATCTTAGCCATGCGTTTACACCGTCAGTTGGCTCCCCACCTCAAAAAACTGATGGCATACTGGTTGTTAAGTATATGTGATCCTTATCCTACGGTGGCCACAGCAGCTCAGCAAGCATTCAACTCTGCTTTCTCTGCTGCAAAACAGGCACAAGCACTTAGTTTTTGCCAAGAGGCTATTCTTGATGTAAGTATAAGTATTTTTACTCTGATTTTTCTTCTAGAAAGGGTTGAGAAAGCTTTGTCAAAAATGCAATGTATATTTATTATTTCTTTGATCTTTTAATGTTACTAACAATTTTAAAAGAATAAAATATACATCTTTGAAATGGTATTAGTTATTGCTTCAATCAAGTAAAGTCATAGTATATTGTTGACTTTAGTTTCTTATATTTGGAGATTTTTTTTGCCTATAACAGAACAAGTAACAATGGCTTTGTTAAGTTATGTATGTGAATTCCATGGTTCTAAAAGAAGGGACACTTTCTTCATACTTGTGGATTCAGATTTCTTCCTGTGAAGAAGATACTGTCTCCCTTGTATTCTGAGGTTGTGCTTTGTAGTAACAAATTTTGTTCTGGAATTCATATTATTATTATTATTATTATTATTATTATTATTCTATGTGCCTTGTCCCTTCAGGGCATTGGCAGTCATGAGTCGCCACAATTTTCTGACCTTTGGAAACCTTAGTAAAGTTTGTCTTTTTGCTACCTCCCCTAAACCCATTTATTTCAAACTATTTACACAAGGTAGATTATGTACTGTTTTCTTCTGACCCTCTTGCCATTAATATGTTCTGTGAGTATCAAATTTTCTAAGCCCTCTTTCCTCATTATGTGCCCTAGAAATTTCAACTATCTCTTTCTGATGTTAATTATGAGTGTCCTTTTTGTTTAAATTTTCTCTAAAGCTTCATTGCTTGCATGTTCAGGCCAACCTTCTGTAGAACCACATTTCTGTTGTTTCAAGTCTCTTCTTTGTCTGTTAGGAGGTTGTCTAGCATTCACTGCTATATAGGGGGACTGATATTACATAATAGTTCAGTACACTTTTTTTTTTTTTTTTGTTTCTAACAAAATTTTCCTGTTTCTTAATATTTTGTTCAGCTTTCAAAAGGCATCTTTGCTGTCCCAATGCACCTTTGGATTTTGGTGTCATACATGCTATATATGAGTTAGTTTATTTTATTTGCACTGGGACATCTTTGGTTTAGTGATAAATGCAAAAAAGTTTTCAGATTGTGTATATGTGTATATGGAGGATGATAACTAAGTAGGCAAATCTTTGGTTGTAGTAATGTGTGACTTCTAGCAAAACTATCAACAGCTTCTGAACAGTTTTATCCACCTAATTTCATTCACAATGTTTGGGTCAACCTGTGGAATAGTTTTCAGTTACTTCTCAATGGTGCTACATGCTGATATCATCTCTCCAGACCAATATTATCAAGAAGTTACCATCTTGAGAAACCATCATATTGAAATGCTCAGAATATTAACAAGGCTTGAGTCAACCTATGGTGTAATTTTCAGGAACTTCCCAATGGTGCCTCATGCTGGGATTGTTCTTCCAAAACCAATATTATCAAGTAGTCACCTTCATGAGAAACCAACCATGGTGAGATTTGAGCTTTGTCTCACGGTCAAAGCATTGAAACCACTTGGCCATGAACCCAATTACCAGTCAGCTATGTGCTTCAAACTAAGCTTGTCTTTATTTACTCAATCTCATTCACCAAGAAATAATTTCCAACTCTGAAATTTAGGGTGCAAACCTCGTAGGACAAAGTGTTTCATTACTGAAAATTAGGAAAAATCTATCTGCCCATTTTATTCCAACCACTGCATCTACTTGAAACTCAACTGTATCTTTATTAGGTTTTCAAACTATTTTCTTCCATTGTCATGCAATTCCTTCTCAGAGGTGTGTTGCAGCAGCTTTGGTATTTTAGCACATTTTAGTTGAGGTATTCTTTAGCCTTACTCAGATGGGAACTGTAATGGCATTGATATTTTTAACATTACTCTCATGATACCCTTGAAAAAAAATGAGAGGATTATGAATATGAATGGATTGGCACTTCTACCTCGGATCAGAACACCTTTGTGCTCTGTCTAGAATCAAAATGTTGCTTTCTGGCACTTCTACCTAGGATCAGTGGTATATTTGTGTACACATACACTCGCTCACTCACTCACACACAAAGTATAGCTGTGTGTGAAGTTGAAAACGTAGAGAGTAAGAAAGTCAGAGAAAGGTGAAAAGATAAAAAGAAATATAAGCTTATTTTCTTCAATTTTATTACTCCTTTATCCCTTTTTTTAAAGTGAGTAAAACTTTAATTTTTTTCTTCTTTTGGAGTATGATATATACCTTATGTAGGAATTCACATATATAATTTAACAAATCCATTGTTACTTGTTCTGTTATAGGCAAAAAAAAGAAATCTCCAAAGAAACTAAAGTCAACAACTATACTATCACTTTACTTGATTGAAGCAATACTGTAGTATCAGTATATAGAAAATATTTTTTATTTGTCCAACTTTCTCATGTTTTGTTGTAGCATCCATTTGAGGAATGCCGAAGAATATATAGGTTTAAATTAAACAAAAGGCCAAAATATCAAATTACCTTTTTCTTTTTTTTTTTAAGGTTCTCTGCCAATTGAAATTTTTTTTTTCACTATTTTAATTTGTATTTTAAATTTCAGTATACAACTGACAACCTTTTAAATCAAAAAGCTGAAACACTTAGTGATCCAAAGTAAGTAATATTCTTCTTTGTGTTTTATAATCTTATTGATCATGTAAAATAAGTTTTGTATTTTGACACAATAGATCCCCCCCCCCGACTGGCTGAACACACACAAAATCAAGTGGGCCTAAATGATGATATCGGAGTCAAGTGTTGGGTTGTTTTTTAATGGCTGGAAGATAGTCTGTGAAGTCTAATGTTCAAAATGGCAACCTGCTTGAGTGAAGGGGAATAAAATAATAAACAAATAAATGAAAAAGGAGATCAAGTGGCACTTGGTTGGAAACCTGCTGCTGCTTACAACCTTATATAAGTAAACTCCCAGTTAAGACTAGACAGAGCAAGGAGCTGTTCATCCAACAAATTTGCTCAGCTGAAGTAAGAAGAGTAGAAGAGACCAATGTGCCAGCAAAAAGATCTAATCTCATAACTTCACCAGGTAAAGAGATTTTCATATCTCGAGTGGAAAAACCATAATTTTATATAGAACTCAATGGGCTGAACCCATTTCAACTGCAGGTGGAACAGGTCAACTTATTAAAGCACAAGTTTACATTACCTGAAGGTTATTGGTTAATACTTGTACTTGGAAGTAAATATACATTTGAGCTATTTAACAACACATAGTACTAGAGAGATACATACATGAAAAACCAACGCATTCTGTTAAAAATAAAAAAAATATAAAAATCATCCTTGATAATGGCTAAAAGAATAGTCAAAAGTGCTTGGATATGCAGAACTTTTGAACAGTTTTTACACACTTTCTGTCCAGAAAAGAAAACACTTGTATGAATACAAGAAAGATTAAATCAAAAGTTTAGTCGTTGTACCTTGTCAGTCATCTTTAACAAAACTTGTATAAAAAAGGTATTGCTGCCCAAATACACAATGTGTCAAATGCAAAATAAAAAAAACAAAATGTCCAACAAACAGAATTAACAAAGTTTGCAATAAAAAAAAAAAAAAAAAAAAAAGGAACGGGGCAAAAAATGAAATATCAAGCAAACAGGATATGCAAGGCAAATTAACAGTAAGAAGGAAAAAAAAAGGTCACAAACTAAGAATTGACATTGACACACAAAAGCATGTTCGGATAAGTGAACATAGTCCCGATCTGCCTTGTCTAGAATACTGAGTCATGTCAAACTGGAAACCAGCCTATTTTATTGGCTAAGAAAAAATCCCAGAATACATTTGTGTGCTTTTGCCAATAAAAGGGAAGGAGCAAGTGTTCTGCAGTCATATGGATTGAGATCAACAATACATATATAATAGCATACCTATGGACGATATGTCCCCATTCACATAAATGCAGTAGTAAATACTGTATGTTGGTCTGCAGTTGGAGATCCATTGTGTTATTCACTTGACTCACTTCTAGTAGTTGACTACTACTTCTATGCACTGCTGGCAAAACTTATATGTGTTGTTCTTGTCCTAAGTATTATCGTACATTACCAACTTTTGTTTGATTATTCTATTCAGTAACCTTCCTTAGGTTACAACAATATATATTGTGTGAACATAGAAATCAACACTGCATAGTAATTGTTTCACACCTTGTGAGTGTTTCTCTAACAGTACACTCTGAGATGAAATTAGGTGCACTATGAAAGCAAGGTTATATTTCAAAATGTGAAAAATACAAACTGAAATTTTTTTTTATATAATAATAAATTTACCATCAAGTCTCCTGAAAACTGGATGTGATTCTGCAAAAATCAGAGTAGATATCCACAAGCGAACAAATTTATCATATATATATATAAGTGAGTGTGTATAAAGAATATTGCCATGTTGCTAGAATATTCCAAGAATCGTAAATATTCTGTCAGTTTGATAAGATTTCTTTAGATTGAATTAGATTTTTTTAAATAAAATGTATTATTTAATTTAATTAAGTTATTCATTCTTGCTTCAGCCAAAAATAATTTATCTTAGGCAAATTGTTTACTTTTTAAGAACTGTTATAAATATTTCATGATTGCTTAATCAGAGAACTAAATTTAGTTCTCTGGTTAGACAATTCTGAAATATTTATGTTTGAAACGATACTTTGACATTAAGTTTTTTTTTGTTTGCTATGTTATAAATAAGTGTTTAAAATTTAGAAATAATGGGTTTCTTTTTTTTTTTTTTTTTTTTTCAAGACTCACATCATCTGAGGATATGATCAGTAAATATAATCGTATCCTTTCTTCTTCGTTGTTGGCATTGTGTAAACTTCTTCGTGCACTTTCATCTAAACCTCAATCTGTTTGTGAAGAAAAAATCACCATGCTGCTGGAATCTTCCAAGATCTGGAACCTTTGTAAATCTCCTGTCAACTCGGTAAGACTTAATTCAACTGTTTAAAAGTTTCTTTTAAATTTTTAGAGAAAAAAAGTATTAAATTTTTTTTTCTTTTTTAAATTTGATTTAAAACATTCACATTTTTTTTGTTTATTTTAATTAAATTTTCCGGCTTTTTGCTTTCCAGTCAACTTTGATCTTAAGATTTAAATGTAATCATTATCTTCTGTCTTCTTTATTCTTGTTATTTTATTATACTCTAGCCTTAATAATGTTTTTTTTTTTTTTTTTTTTATTTATATATATATTCTCTCATGCACAGTAACTCCTTATGTTTTATAAGATTTTCAAGTGTTTTCTGCATGCAGTAATTCATAAAAAGTTAATTACGTGTCTCTTCATTAGTTCCTACGTTTATGTCCTCAGATAAAAAAAATGGACTAGTCCATTTTGATTGTGAGGAAAGATAGAATAAAAAGACATATCAGTGATGCAGTTTGATTTTAGTGAGAAAAAGAAAACATTCATAATAAGAAAGAAAAAAAAAGGTAGAGAAGGTGATAATGCTCTCAGGTGTTTGTCTGATTTGGTGAAATGTAAAGCTTGTCAATTTTAAATCATTTCATTTGTATCCTCTCACTACTTCAAATCAGACCTGCATTCATATTTATTGTAATATTTTGTTAAAGTTGTTAAACTCAAATATTTAATGAGGCAATAAGGGAACTTCACAGGTATTTTATTGTCATGGAACTCACAAGGAGCTTATTCAATCATTAAATGAAGAATTATGATTCATCAACAAATAAATAGGAAAACTTTGAAAATTTCACAGCTACTGCTAGTAAATTATAACTTTTCTTTAATGGTAATTATTCTAAATTATTGAGACTTATATTCTCATCTTTGTCGTTTTTATTACCGATTCTCTTTTTTTTCTTTTTACAATGATGTCCACCATCAAGGGCCACTCTAGGTAGAGAGTATAAGAGGCACAGTTTATATGTGGGGAAGATAATGGTTAATTCTCAACTTGAGCAGGTTAAGATTGAGTGATCAGTCCTTTTGTTTGTGAAGCCTGTGTTATATGTTGAAACACCAATTCTCATACAAACAGCGAACAGTACCTAGATAGTTGACCACTATCAGGTGCTGTAAGCTTTGATATGTGGGTGGTGTAATGGATAAGGGCTCAGAATTGGAAATCAGAAAGCTGAGTTCCAATTCCAGTTGGGTTCATTATATTCACTTGCAACTATACCTAGGGAAAGTTATGAATACACTTCTCCACACTACCCACATGGGTTAATTAGTAGGAATTGTATCAGTAAATCATTATTATCTCTAAAAAAATTTCTCATAATCTAAAATTATTTCCTGGCTTTAAATAAATTGAAAAAGGTTGATAAGCTATAAAAAAAAATATCAGTGTTTCTAGAAAACCTGGTTTATAATAATACCCACTGCTAGATATGTATATCTTTTTTTTTTTTTCTTTCATTTTAGGTACGCAGTTCATCCTTTCTCTTTCTGGCTGCTGTCTGTCAAGTAGTTCCTGATATTGCCAATAATTACCTCAAGAAACTCAGTCCATGCATCCTTTTAAGTTTGGATGATTCTGATGTTGTTGCTTGTGGCTCAGTATGGGAAGCTGTCCTTTCTTTAGTCAACATGTCTGAGGTAAGTTCAATACCCGATATATATATATATATATATATATATATATATATATATATAACCATTCAGATGATGGCTCATGTGAGCCAAAAACTTAGATCAAGGAACAGCATAATAAAAAAAACATATCCAAATGTTGGACAGCTTTTGTCTTTTTCTCCCAAAACTAAAGCCACTATATGAAGCTTAGAATGGCTCACGATCAAGCATGATAGATATTCGTTGTCTGTTATATTTAACAATATATGTTTTTATATATATATATATATATATATTAAAAGTCAGATCAGTTGAATCCACTACCTTGGTTTCAACCTTACAGTATCCTCAGGCAATTTTTATCAAATGACTTAAAGCTTTATTTAAAAAAAAAAAAAAAAAGAATAGTAAATGCTATATTATTATTTTAAAACAGGGTCACAAAACCAAACTAGAATTTCAACCTCAAATTAAACAACATCTGTAGAACAATTCAAGGAAAAGAAAAATATCATTTGGTTTAAGCCCGCTTTTTACTTACTGATGCATAAAGCAAGCACAATATTGACATTGCTGCTCTCAGTGAGACTCGTTTTGCAGGCATCTCTCAACTTGAGGAATTCACTGCAGGATATACCTTTTTCTGGATTGGCAAAAGTGAAGATGATCCCCACCTATTAGGTGTAGGCTTTGCCATAAAATCAGACATAAAGGTCTTAAAAAGGTGTACAGCCCACAAGGAAATGGAATTTCACACACTCAATACAGACAAGAAGGAAATTATATCACAATGGAAAGAGCACTTTGAAAGTGTCCTTAACTTCACCTCTGCTATCAATGATGTCATTGCTTCAATTCATCAGCAACAAGAAATTCAATCAACTTGATGCTTTTCATAAATGCTGTCTTTGTTCAATATGCAGTTATACATGGCAGGACAAAATCTCTAACTCTGATCTTTTCATCAAATGTGGCATCGGTGTTATCAAATCCTTTCTGATGCAATCACAGTTTCATATGAGCTGTTCATGTCATCAGAATGAGTGATGATTGGATGCCAAAAATCCTCATGTATAGCCAACTTTTTCATGGTAAGTGTAATGTAGGCCATCCTTGGTTACACTTCAAGGACAAACTTAAATACAATTTAAATCCTGCAAACATTCCTATAGAGGAGTTCAAACTCACTGTTGAAAATTGAGCAAACTGGAGAAACACCTGCTACCATGGCATAACAAACTTCGAAAAGAATAATCTCAGCCATCTGAGAGAATTAAGAACCAACACTAAATCCCTGGTTAATACATCTGCCCATATGATGGTCAACTCTTCAGCATGTCCCTCATGTGGATTTGTTTGCAAATCACATGCAGAATTTTTGTCTCATACGAAACATAAACATAAAAACTGAACTGAAAGGCACTCATATGTTGAAAACAACGGGAGAGTCATATATATATATATATATATATATATATATATATATATATATATATATATATATATATATATATGTATTGTACTACCAGTTTTCTCATTTAGAAATAGAAATTGAGACATTTCTTAAAACTGTATTTTTATTGCAAACAAACTTTTCTCATATCTGTACAATCATCACTCATTTGACATTGAAAATGTTGGGGAACCCAAATTTGATATTTATTTAGAAGCCTATTAAGATAACTGAGTTCTCTAACAAAATTTAGTAAAACATTTTACCATTTCAAAATATCATACATGGATAAACTAAATAGAATAAAAATAATTTTATTCATATGTTTCAGATAAAATAACTGAGAAAGGAAATTAAGTTGGTGCAATTTAAAGTTGGTTGAAGAAAAGATTTTGTATAAAATTAATAGAAATATATTATTTGTCTGATTTCAAATAAGTCCAAATATGTATATGTAATGAGAGAGAATTCATATACACATAGAGAAAGAGAGGGGATTTACATACACAGTGTGAGAAGAGTCCATTGAACTTTTAGCTGTGGCTTTGGTCAGTGGAAGTGGGGTAGATGATTGAAGACAGTTCTTTTGAAGTTGTCACTAACCAAAAACATAATCCTGCTGAAAGGATATCTGCCTCTGTTGATATTTTTTAAGAGGCTCAAAGCATTCAATACCAAAATAAAACAATTTCATTGGTCTATTATTTTTCCTCTCTCTCATGTGATATGGTTCTATCCTATGTATGCAGAGAAAAAGGATTCATTGAAACTGATTTTGTAATTTTCAAAAGTGAAAGCATGAGCATTATTTCTTGTGTGTAGATATATATGTGTGCACACACACGTGTGTGTAGCCCACAAAAGTCCTGGCGTTAAGTGACAAAAATGTAATGAGATGCCTTGGTGTAGTAATTTTCATTAAACTTGTTTAAATAGTATTTGGTTGTCAGTTTTATAAAGCATTCAGACTTGTTTTTTTTTTATTGCTGCTTTTTATCATTGTTTTGGCTGATATTAGTTTGCTTGAATATTTAATGCCCTGATCTGAATTGAGAAAACAATTACCAACTGAGGAGTGTTGAAGAACATGTCAGCAAATATGTAAGAATCAAAACATTAAGGATAAGGATATTAGTCTGAATATCTCATGGGCTAAGGATAATGATTTATCTCAGAATTTCAGACACTTTTAAATAAACTGCTGTCAAAATTTTGGGAAATAAAATGTTAATTTCAGTTTTATAATGCATTAGACTTGTTATCTGACAAGTGACTGTTATAATAAATATGAATTAATTTGAATTTGTGCTAAATTGCCTAAAATTAAAATGACTTCAAATTTTGAATGTCACTTTGGTCTCTACATTAACCCACTTTTTCTCAAGTAGGAATAATCTTTCATTTAAAAAAGAATAGTTGTCCTGTTTGGTATTCAAATCAACTGCTTGAAATTTCTTAGTAATAAAAAGTTATTTTAACTGGTAATATCTTATTACAGTGTTTTAGTATTACTATTGCAACCCCTAAACATACCTTGAAAATTTTTATTTAACATTTTTTTTTTTTTTTTTTTTTAAGCGAAACTGAAATAGGAAATTATCAAAATTGTGATTGCTTTATTTTTCTATCTGAATTTCTCAGATGACAAGTTAACATTATTTATATGCAGGCTATTCTGTTCAGTGCAAGTGTGGCAAGCAAAAACTGAGCAGTATTAAATAAGAATTAGACAAGATATCCTTGAACATGGACAGTGGGATATGAACAGTCTACCCCAATAGATTAAATAAATGTTTCAGTGTTTGAAATTCCTTGAAGGTTACCTGGATCAACCTGATGAAGGCTGGAGGGTACAATGATTGAAACGTAATAACAACAACAAAGATAGGGACAATAGTCTCTGTTCTATTATATTTACAACAAAAATTTTAAAATGTTTTTCAATTTCTTTGCACATGTAAGGAAATTTTTATATTATAATCTTCAAACAAAAAAATGAAATGCTTGAAATTTGACCAATACATCCTTCAATGGAGGGCTGGATAGCAAAATAGACTTGCTTGCCATTACTACTGTAGTGAGTATGATCCTCACTGGGTGCCTCATACTTGTATCCTTGTGCCATACTAAGCAAGCTTAAAAAATATAAAATGATTCAATTTTTTTTTATAAAGAATGATTGAGGAATTATGTTATCTGGAGTAGAGGTTAAAAAATAAATTGTAGAATGAATTTTAGAAAAACACTAGACCACCTATAAACCAAATGGGCTTCTTTTAAAAGCAATTTATATAAAATGCTGAGCTAACAATATTATCAATTTTATTATTAATTTTTATTTAATATTTGTATTACTTTAATTTGTATTTAAAAACAGTAAAAGATTTATTTTTCCACTGAACTTCATAGTTAACACATTGAGTGAAAAGTTGGAGTATTAGCTTAAAACAGATGTAGTTTTTTTCAAAATAATAAGTATATTATTATATAGATTTGTTTCTTCCTTGCATTTATTTCAAAATACATACCAACATGCATTTAGTTATTTATTTATCAAGTCATGTGTCGCATATAGCTTTTCACCTTTCAAGTAGTTGTTTATAACAAAATGTCCTAATGTAGTATAGTGAATTATATAAATATGTTGTTGTGCACATTTAAATTTATTTAATAATGTTATAATGTATTGTGAATGTTTATTATTTTCACACACATAATAGTTGGGATATATGCAAGTGTTTGTTTATATACATGGATTGATATAAGAATGAGTGTTGAAAACAGATACTGAATTTCCTATTAAAAATGACACAGAAACAGAAAAACAACCTTGACTCAAGAACCCCTTGTCTAATTTTAATGAAATTTGGCACTGCACTTGACAGTAGTTCAAGAGTACAATTTTCTCCTAAATGGGTTAGGGTATTGTGTAAGCTGTATCTCGGGAACACACAAAGATTAGAGTTGAAATAAATTTATCCTACTGTATGATCACTAAGACATTATGTAAGGGAAACTTGTCACACTTCATTTGTTTATTAACCTCTTTTATAAACTGAAGAATGAATATTAACCAAAAAGACAATAAGCTATACAGACACACACACACACACACACACATATGTAAGGCATATTTAGGCAGCAAATGATAATTCAAACAAAATTTATGTCTCGTATATTTTTAATAAGTTGTCAATCTTATTGACTGGTGAATGTATTTTGGTGTTGAAGACATTATAAGAACTGTCTATACTTCATGTTCTTGCTAAGGCTCTAAGTTTTTGACTGGCTTCAGTCATCATCAAGAAAATTTCAAACTCTGTTTCATGATAGCGTGCATTTTTAGGATGATTTTTAATTCTAAGTTTTGAATGTTTGATGTATCACATAAAATGTGATTAATTTTAAAACTGTGGTGTCATGAAAATGTGATGCAGTGTGGATTCTGAAAATTTTAAAAACTTTGAAAATGTCTATTCCAGAATTATAAATGATTTTCTGGATTGTTAGTTGCTTTGACTTAATGTGGATAGCTTCTAAAATGTGTAATCTTTTTCACAATTTGTTTAAGGTATTATTTTTATTTACAAGGAGCTATCTTTATGTAAGTTTAATTTTTTGTATCTTGTGGGATGTACAAGTAGTGTAATTGAGAGCAGTTCAGAATGAGAAATCTGAGAGCTGACTTTGAATTCTGGTTGGGTTTGTTAAATTCGTTTATGCCCAAATACCATTAGGAAATGTATGAATCCATCCACTTCCCCTAGCTATGGCTTAAATAGTAGGACTTGTATCTGGAAGAAATCATTGTTATTCTTAAATTGTTAATGCAATATTCACTTACAAAAAAAAATATTATCACAATTCAGAAGGTGTTTTGGCTTTAAATAACCCACAAAGCATTGATAAACTGTGGGGAAAAAAAAACCGCCTCAATCAATTGTATCTTGTGTTGCCATATAGCACTTTGTTTGGTATTACAAATAGTTTTCCATTTTCTTGTTTATTTACTCAATATCATTCAAATATATAAGCAAAGATAAAACCATTTTTCTCTGTTTCTTTTTTAGGAATGTTGGAAACATGTAAGTGTGCCAAAAGGTGTGTGGCCTAAACTAAGAACAGTATTAGCTGAAGGGTGCCATGGAAATGCAGCTGTCATTGGCCCCAGCATTTTACCATTGCTTAGTAAATTTCCAAAAGAATTCATTGGACAACCACAACAGTTTTATGAGCAGTTCTTTTCAAACATGAAAACAGGGTAAGTCAATCAGATGTTTGGTGGATGATAAATTGTAAAAATGAAAATGAAACACTTCTATAAATTTAGCAAATTTATTTAATGTTAAGAAATAGTGGTATGATTACAAAATTTCTTTTTGTAAGAGTTCATGGAATGAAAACATGAAATATTGACAGTTCTTCATTTGATGGTCAAATGTATTTTTTTTATTATTTCTGTCTTGATATTTATAAATAATAAAACAACATTTATTTGAACATTGATTAAATTCAGCTCCAGGGAGCCAGACCTACAGACAAAACCTCTCTCATTTCATTAAGACAGAGAGTCAGATTTAATCCTTAATGCCTAAAGCAATACAATAGGGAAATGCTGAGGGTGCTAGGAAGGTTTTGTCTCCAATCCCATGTATGTGCTGAATTTCGACTTTAATCGCAGTCATGTACCATATTCTGTTCAGTTGAGCATATAGATAAATCACAACCCATGTTTATTATGCTCAGATCGAGAGGGTTCTTCTCATCCATCACCACCTGTCAGTAACTCACCCATAGGTCTGATAGTCATGGTTAATCTTTGTCCAAAGGGGAAGTACCAAAGGAGCTGAACAATTTTTGTCTCCAATTTCCTGTGCATGTAGGATTACTACTTTAATCTTGGTCTTGTGTCATATTCCTTTTGAGTAGACAGAAAAATTTATGTGATTTCATAGTTTTACATAATATTTAGGTATACAAACACATAAAAATAGGTACTTACACTTTTTTGGTATACCTAAGGTTAAAATGAATTTTCATAAATTAAAAATCTTTCTTGAAGCTTTCATTTAAGCTTTAATTTACTATTTCCAGTAAGCAAAATACTCTGTAGTGTATTTCAAACAGGAATTCTGTTGGTTAGAGATGATTCATTTTTGGGGCTAAAAATAACTGGTCAGTGCCCCCCACCTTTTTTTAAGCCATCTGTCATCACACTGAATTTTTCTTTATTAAAAAATCTTCCAAAAATAAAACATACTTTTCTGAAACTTTATTTGAGGGATATTAGCTGATTTAAAGTATAATTAATCTGATTTGAAAAAAATATTATTTACATTAAGTTAAAAATAATAGGAAAATGGATTTTTAAAACAAACAGTAGCAGTGATTTAGTGCTTGTCAAAGGTCATAAATCACTTGTCAAGTGTTTCAGAAGCAGCTGTCAAGCGATCTATGAGGTGTTGATATGTTTATTATTGTTCTACAGATACTTTAACTTTTAAAACATAACTTAACAGTTAAACTGTGACTGGTGAACACTTTTTTATATAATTTTTATGTACTCAGTAATCTTAAAAATGTTGGAAATATTCTCCATAATCTAACTTTAGGAATGATGGCTTTAAATTTAATTTAGTCATCAATCTTATTTTCTGATAATGTCATATATGGTCACCCATAATTTCAAAATGGTAACGTTTATACACATAAAAAAATTATTTTAAAAATCTTGGTTTGTGATTATTTGTATTAAGCTTTTCAATTTTTGTTTTGTAAATATAGTCTTCAATGAATAACTTAATAACTGAACAAAAAGGCAGTTTTGAAGAATTTTTAAAAGATTTTTGAAACTTTATAAACTATAAAAATAAAATAAGAATTGTAAAAATTCATTATTCATTGAATTTTTTTTTCTTCAGACTATAATGTCCTTAATATATATTATTTATAAAAGCAATTAAAAGCTTATCTAATTAAATAATATCATAGTTTTTATTGCAATTTTTATTTTACAATTTGGAGCAGATTTTCAAGTAACTGTTTGAAAAACAAAAAATGATTTACATTCTCCAAGGATTCCTGCATTTAACTAATAAAACAGATTTAGAGGATGGAATTTAATTTCTAGAAATTTCATGAAATTAAGTGTGTGGGAGTGGGTAACAGATGTTAAAAAATATATATCCTTACCAAGATTTTGTAAAAATAATAATTTCAAAAATAAATTCATTTATTTGTGAATAAGTCCTAAAAGTTTCATTAAAATCTGACAATTATTTGATTTTTGCAAGAAGTTAACAGAAAAAAGGTGCAAAAATTTCTATAACCAACTCTGTTACATCCTTGATGCATAAAAAAACAAGATTTTTAACCAAAATTTCAAACGTTAGAAAGGAGTAAAAAAATTAGCTAAATTGTAACTTTAGAGTTAGTAAAATTGTAGCCTGAAAATATAAGTTTAATGTTTTTTAAAAACATGATTGTGTTTTTGTTTTCAGAATTGGGAAAGACAGTGTCCAGTTGAGTCCAAGTGAATGTTCAGCTGTGGTGACTGCTCTGATGGAATGCATTCATTATATGATAAAGGTTGATACAGACATACTTCATCCTGTAGGCTCTCATCTCCTTTTCATGGACCAGGTAATCTCCCATTTTTCTTGATTTCTCACCCCATCCATAAAAAAAAAAAAAAATCGAAACTAAATACTATTTTTTGATAATATGGAGATAACCTACAATGTTTTTCTGCTATTAGTTTAATTCTTTCATCTATTAGAATTATTTCATGTTTATTTAATTTCTTGTATTATAAAACAAGATCTAGATTTAAAAATCAAATGCTAAGTACTGACTTGTGAAATTTCATGAGTTTTGTTTTGGATTTGCTTTTGCGTGTGTGTTAAGCAAAGTTTGTAAATTCAAGTCTTTTTAATTCCTAACAAAATCAATGAGTCAGTGCTTAGCATTTGAATTTTAAATCTAGATCTTGTTTTGTTCACTATAAATTCACTACCTGTTCACAGCAGAGGTGAACATAAACTTAGAGAGTTGAGTTACTAAAGAGAAATAAATGAAACTGAGATATCCAGAAAAGGCATGGCAAGTGGAACTAGAGCAATATACCCCAGTGGACTAAGTAAAGGGTTTGGTTTGAAATTCCAATGTACATCACCTGAAGAATGCTGGAGCATACAAAGCCAAAATATCGTGAATATGACAATGAAGATGAGGGCAATAGTCTAAACCATGTAAATAGTGTAAATAGTTACAATATCTCATCAAAGAAAGATGTTGGATTATAGTTTTAAATCCTGGGTTAATTTAGTATCAAATCTCCAGCTCCCCGATTCATTCATTTCACAATCTTCAGAAAGATAGTGGATGGTTTCCCATTGTTTTCTTCACCATTTTGGATTCAGTCATCCATCTCTAGAGATCCCAGCTGTAGAGAGAAGAGATAAATTCATAACTTTCTCAAAGGTATTTGTGTGAAAGTGAATCCAACAGACTGAGTGTGAATATAAATGCGGTTCACCAATTCCCATTTCTGAACCGATAATTATTACATGACCCACCCATCTGTATATTAATTAATATACAGATGTGTGGGTCATGTAATGATGCTTCCCACACTAGTTGATTCTATTGTTACAAATTAAGTTGCTGTTAAATATTTTTTGCAAGATACTATCAGGAAAGTTCAGTGGTGATGGAAAAATTCAGTGACATTAAATTTTTGACAATTTTATCTTTTTCACTGGGGATATGCAAAATGTAAAAGTTAATCTAACCAAAAAGAAATTAAAATAGCAAAGAAAACTATGATGATGAATTTTGTGAAGTGCCTAATATTTTATTCTTTTTTATCAAGCATACATAAATTCATGAAACTTGAAATAAATTTTTTCTCCATCATTTGAATATGAATTTGTCTTTTGTCTGTTAGATAACATTATCTTACAAGAAATATTTCTTTTCTATTGTAGCTCGTGCCCATCGTCCAAGCCTCTCTGATTGAAGAGAAAGCTACCCTGTCACGAAGTCCTCTCTACTCTAAACTTGGCTACCTCCTGCGAGTGCTGGCTGAATCAGCTCCGCCCTCACATTCTGATACATCCGATTCTCCATCCTTAGCTCATCTATGTTGGAAGCAAGTTACAGACCTCACCCTTGACTGTTTGAATGCCATCACCTCAGACACACATTCAGAGCTTGTCATTAGAACATCCCACAATACCGTGTCAACCCGACTGATCAACCTTGTTCAGTCATTGATCTATCCAACAAAACTCCAACTTAGGCAAGAGAAATCAATGAGTGTTAATTTTTCTGAAGTTGTTGGCCCTCAGTGGAAAACCTCATCCACAAGTCCCAAACGAGACTACACAACATTGAACACTTTCCAGAAGAAGTGCGCTTCAGAATTGATTCTGAAATCATATGGAATGATTAACAAAGAGCTGGACACAACGTGTGTGCATTTATTTGTGAACTTCCTGAAATTGTATCCAACTGAAGAGATGGTTAGTCTACTCCTTATTAATACTGCTGAACCCCAACTCCAGTTGCAACATCAGACTGCAACAGAGACCTTCATCTCTAGTGTTATTCTCAAATGGTTAAAACAAATGCAATTAGAATCAAGCCAGTCACACCTGGAAAAATGTGGTGCTGATTTACTCAGTGTTTTGTTTGTTTTACTCTCCTCTTTAGACGACAATCAAATTTTTAATTTCATGGATGACATCTGTCAAGTAAGTAAATGCATTACTGTTTTTAAGTGTTTTTTTATATGATATGAGTTAATGTTTTTTAAAGGTTCAGCTGGTTGATTTACAAATCAAACTACCATTATTTTAATTTCAAATCTAGCATGTTCTATACAGGCAATATTTCTCCATTTATTGATGAAAACATTATAAATATGTCGCTGTATCTTGATGTCAATGACATAGTACTTGCAAAAAATGAAAATTATTTATTAGCACTTCTTTCTAGTATTAGAGTATCTGTGTGCTCTGCTTAAGGTGAATGAATGACTTCAAGGCACTTCCAGCTAGGATCACTATATGTACACTCTATCAAGGGCTATACACATTTATACAGGATGAGATGGGTAAATTGTCTCTGTATTGCTTGGCATTCATGTCGGAAGTGCCAATACAAATATTTCTGAGTTTCGGTGTCAATCTGAGAATAATGCAGAGGATTCAGAAAGAGTTGGATGAGTCTAATAGCGATTACGAATGTACAGCAGCTTGGAAAACTCACTCTGTTCTTATAAGAAAAGATCTCTTGAATTTGTTGGTGAGGGTCTCACTCAACACAGAGGCCTATATCAAGTGCCTTCAGGCGGTAGTGCTTCCCTGGGTCAAGAGGGTGGCTGCTGGAAGACGCTACGTTTGGCAACAGGACTCTGCACCATGCCACACAAGCAGGAGAACCCCGTCATGACTGTCGGACAACTTCTGTGACTATATCACATATTACATCTTGCCGCCTAACTTCTCAGATTGCAACCCCCTTGATTATTATGTGTGGGGCACAGTTGAGCAAGATTCTTGTTGATTTTTATTGAATAAATTTACTCTTTAGTATTTCAAGATATTTTTGTGTAATTTTGGTAAGTATATCTGTTAAAATGAGATGTCAATATTATTTTCATTTTTTTTTGTGCAATTTAGACGACAATTTATCCATCGCACTCTGTATATATAGTGATAACAAAGATATTGTAAAACCAGAAATGCTTTCAGTTTGTGAGAGTCTGAAAGAGAGGGCATTTAAGGGAAGCAGTCTTTGCAATAAAGAGTTCAGTGTCAGAGATAGAGCGTTAATAGGATTAAAACAAAATTTGTCACTTAGATGATTGATTTTATATTCAGCACCTTGACTCTGGAGTTTCATAGACAAAATCTTTTGGAATAGTTCTATTCATTTGTCAAGAGGTTTCAGCAATTTGGAACCTCCTGACGAGTGGATGTAATGATTGCAAAACTCCAGAGTTGAGGAGTTGAATATAAAATCAATCAACTAAGTGACAAATTTTAGAATTTCATTTTTATTAATCATATATATATATATATATATATATATATATATATATATATATAATAATTATTTTCTTTTTAAAAATATGACACAGAAAATTTCCATGTTTCAAAACTGAAGCTAAATTTATAAATTTAATAATAAAAAATAAACTTAAAATCTAAAGTCTCATTCCATTGTCATGCAATGCTAGGAATAACTTTCTAAGAAATTTACTTAATTTATGAGCACAGACCATATATATAAGTTGTTATGGTTAAGGAAAATTCAATCTATTTTAATTTCTTAGCTTATGTATCCAATATATGTTACTTACAAAGTCAAGTGAAGTTTAGGTGTTGTGGGGTGCCTGCTAACAAGCATATACTTCTATTATTCAGCAAGTCGTTTGGGTTTTCAATGACAAAAAAAAAAAATTACATTTTTATTCATATTTCTATGCACAAAGATTTTCTAAAAGTAGGTACCTCCATGAAATCGCTAAAAAAAGAGCATAGCTTGATGAAAAAGACGCCAACCTTGCCGAAAACAAAATTTTATCGTCTAAATGCTTATGTAATTATTAAAAGGAAAGACCAAAGTTTTGTTTTTTTTTATTTTTAAAATTTTTTCCTTAATTGGACCCCCCCTACCTGAAAATCAGCTCCGAGTTCTAACATACAAAACTCAATAAAACAAAGATATTTAACTTCAAATGCTTTTATTTGCTTTTAGCTGTTTTTATGAATATGGAGAATATTTTCTGAAAGCAAAAAATTTTGATGAAAAATAAATTTTTAATACAATTATTTGTTATTTCTTGATTATAATAGATTTTTAAATTTAAGATGTTAAAATATTATAAAATTAGTTAAAAGCTGCATCAGGTTTCCTAAGTCTCCTTATGAGATAGATCATTTTTTAGTGCATTGTAAATTGTATCATTTTGACTAATCGGAAGATCCGCATTAATTAAGTAATGTAATTTTGTATTTATAATTGAGCTGTAATTATAAAGTACGGAAGACCAACCAGAATACAATTAAGTTGCGTTATTTGAGTTAAGCATTATTCTTCGCTGTTAAGGCCTTTACTTTTGCGAAACATGTGTGGAGAAGTTAATTTGATTTTTCAATTTCAACTGAGAAGGGTACCTACAAGTATCAGTATCATCTTATGAAATTTATATGATCTTATTTTTATATTAATCTTAGTTATGACATTTTTTCCATAAATGAAATATCTAAATTAATAATAAAATGAATGGAAATAAAATAACACAGTAAAATGTAATAAATGTACATAAAATTATAGTATTTTATGTACACTTCTGATAAAATTTCATAAGGTACCTATAAATTAATTAGATACCTTTCTTATGAAATCTAAGTACAAAAAAAAAAAAAAAATTTGAACACTGAAAGTTTTCCTTAAAAATAACGAGGTAAATAATTTGTTCACTTAAATGTAAATTATTTCACTTTTCTCCTTCCGTAGAACAAATTATCCTCACAGAATCCATCAATATGTCATTCATCACCTGTCAAGTGATGCGAAAATTTATGACCTGCTTTGTTTTATTTTCAAATTACATCTTTTTTGCACAGAAGCTAAGTTAAGCTTGGTTCAAAATATTTTAAATAAACATTATAATTTCTGATTTTCTTAAAATAAGTTTTGAAAAAATGATAATTGATATTTAAAAGAATTTCAAAGTGAGATTTCCAGTTTTTTTATAAAATGGAAAAAAAAATGGTCAATTTTGCTGACTCAAAAAAAAAAACAAGATTTTTAATGAAAATTTCAGACATGCTAGGAACGATTAAAAAATGTAAAAAAAAAAATACCCCCAAAATACTTTGATCTTTCCTCTTAATAATAAACATTTAGATGATAAAATTTTGTTTTTGTCAAGTTTGGCGTCTTTTTCATCATGCTATGCTCTTTTTTAGCGATCTTGTGGAGTTACCTATCTAAAAGGGTCATTAATTTAAATATGTGGAAATCATTTTTAATACTTAAATTTTATTCTTACAGATTTAAAGTACCATTTGACCTTTTAATAACTAATAGACTCTATGGTATTTTTACAAATAAATATATTAGAATTTAATTACTAATTAATGATCAAATATAAAAAAAGGTTGAATGCTACTTTAAATTCTGTGAAGAAATGGTAATACAGGAACCATATATAGAGTAGACAAGTTGATTGTTGCTAATAGGGTGTAGTGTATCTCTTTTTAATAGTTTCAGGCATTTCAGTAAAAAAGAAAAAAATTCTGATTAGCAGGATTACATTTAACTAGGACAGACATAACTGTATTGTGGGTTGAACCAAGACCATTTTGAAATAACTTCTAATGTGTATCACTGGTAGAGTGCAATAGAAGTAAATTTTGAGACATAGGTCTCATCAGATTGTGTTTTGTGGCAAACATGATATTTGGTGTGCAGATGACATCCATAGAAAAATATGTTTGCTTTTTAGAGTTTTCAGTTTTTAGAATTTTGGAAAAGAGTTTATATACTTGTGATATTTTACAATCATTTTTTTCTGTTGTTTGTTTTTTTTATGCTTATTCAAACTGAAATGAAATATTTACAAACTATATCTTATTTTTAGATTCTAATGCTTTAACAAAATACAAGTTATTGTATTCCACTTACTCAGCTTTTGTAGTGGATGTTTGTGTATCATCTACCATGTATTAAATTGTGAAAGCAGAATAATATATCATATTTTTATTATTTCAAATCTCCCAAGAAAATTAAATTTCTGCATTAAATGACCTAAAGGAGGTGATCTGCCATTAAACAAAGCAAAAACAAATATCCACATGTCATTAAATTTTGGTATTTATAATGGTTTGTATTATGTAATATTTATGAACTTACAAAATAATCTGTGCATGGGTGAAAGCACATTTAACATGAATCACTATAGAGAGATACAGAGTGACATCTTGGTTTCAATGCTCCAGGAACTGAGAAATTCACTATAAAATGGTTAGTTGAGGTCTTTAACTTTCTTTACTCTGTCATTACCTCTGTATCATATTTTAATAGCATCTATTTTGGCTTTTACATTCTTACATTTTTTTTTTTTTTTTTTTTTTTTTTTTTTTTTTTACATTTTTCACCATTTTATTCATCAGAAAAAAAGAAAAATTACCAAAAAATATCCCTGATGGGCATAAGTATGTCTGACTAGTAGAAGCACAATGCAACTGAAAGGGCATAAATGAAGTGAAATTGAATTCCACTGTGTGGAAAAAATTGCACCCATTGACATTCATCAAAACTTGTTGAATGTATGTGTAGATCAAGCAGTGAATCTGAATACAATAAGGTGGTGAATAATGTATCAACAGTAATAACAGTGGTGTGTATGACAAGCCACATTCAGATAGACTGTAGTGACTTTTACTACTACTTGACCACCAAACTAAAAATGATAAAAAGTGTAGTTACAAAGAGTTGCCACTAGATGGCACTGAAGACTCCATGAACAAGTTTGGTTAATGTGTAAAATGGGAAGAGAATTGCAAGCTTACCATTTCTTCTTCAGTTCCCAAAAGGCCTTCAATAATCTGTTAGGCAGGTTGTTGCAAGCTTTTAAATTGCTTCATGAGTGTCTCATAGTTTGAACACCAGCAAGATGGCTAAGCCACTATCTACTGGACACTGGTAGTTATACTCTAAATGCAGTTAAAAATTGAAAAACAAAGGCAGCTCAAATACTTCTACATCAAACAAAATTAAGGTAGAAATACAATCTAAGGTTCTCTCTCCCACTGTCTTTGGCTAAGTTTGGTGGAAATTTCAGACTAAGATACTTTTTACCAATTGGCATGCCAGGAAATTGAACTGCTGTTCCATCTTCTTTGATATATCTTTTCAGGACATGGATGGTTATCTTTAAGTAACTAAGTAACTTTGCCCCATACCATTCCTTTGTTTTTGTTTTGTCATCCATTCACTCAATCTCGAATAGGTTATTTAGTTTCCTCTGTTTCTCTCTTCTTCAATATGTCCTGTGAGTGTTAAATTTTCTAAGCTTTCTTTCTTCATTGTCTTCTAGAATTTTCAACTATCTCTTTCTGATCATTAGCAACAGTTTTCTTGTAGTAGTTTCTATTCTTCTTAATTTGAAATAAAAACAAAACAAAATGCATAGAATTGGTTTAATTATATTTTTGAACTAATTTCCTCTTTCAGGAATTCAACAAATCATGTCTGTTCAAGATACTGCTCAATGAAATCTTAGTCTCTCAAAGAAAGATTCCAGCTCTCCAAGAATGGTTGTCTCGACCCACACTTGGAAAGAAACTCCTCTCCCTAACATCAAGTGTCTGCTCCCAGGCTTTGCTGCCCTACTCAGCCACAGAACTGAGTGAAGCTGAAGACAACTGGACCATCCTCACTTTGGCATTATCATCAAGCTCACAATCAGGTAATTCCATAATTCTTTCTTTTTGTTGTTTCCTAAAATGATGCTTAAATTATGGACAATGAATGGCCATATTGTGAAAAAACTCTGTATAATGATGGTGTGAATTAGTGTGACACTATGAGTTGGATATATGCGCACGTGTGTGTGTGTGTGTGCGCCCGCACATCTGTGTGTGTGTGTATATATACACACACATCTGTGTGTGCGTCTTGTGCATACTTTTCATATGTCTTGAAAGATTAGTTAGATTTGACCTGGGTATCAAACTTCAAGACCCAATGACTAGATTAGGAATCTAGATAAAACATGTTTTGGACATATGGCCAAAAGGGGTAGATAAGTGTTAAGTACTTGTCAAAATACGAAGATAGTTAAAAGACCAGCTCTGGTCAAAACTTAAAAGTCTGAATTTAATGTCCCTGAATCGAGTCAGCTAGGCTAAGAAATATTTTTATGTCCACTTTCTTCAAAGGGAGAAATGGTCATGAAAAAGTTATGGGTTTATTCGTGGGTGTCCCTTGCCCGGAAATGATGAAAGAGGACTCTGCATATATACGGGAGCGCTTTGGGTTTCGGGAGACTTAGTTTAGGTTCGAGGAAGGTTGATTCAGGCGGACAAGTGTAACAACGAAGAGCGACACATTAGCAGCCGGACATTGTTAGTTAAGATATATATTTTTTTTGCCAGCTGAGAATCAGCCCAGAGTTAATTATCCACAAAAGGTTACATGCCCTCCCTCCTCTTTTCGTCCTACCCAAGTTTGTAGTTGTGTTTTTCTTTTGCCTGTGAGCCTGCCTCTCGCTTGATCCGCCGCACAGAAATTCTACGACGTGGGGTCTATATCTTTGTGCAACGAGTTGCAGAGGTGGGTAGCTTCACATTAGCCACATGCAGAACAAGGCAAACATGTCTATAAAAATGTTTTACATTTATTTCTTTGTGAAAGTGACCACTTGTTTAAATCACAAAATAATTAGAGTAAGGTATATGAAGATGCATGAATGATAAACATAGGCTTCAGATGAAAAAAGCTACATTTCTTCTTCTCTCTGATCTAGCCCTATTTGCTGCTGTACTTCTGCTATTATGGTCTCTTCTATTTTTCATTTGGTCAAAACTCTACCACAGAGCCAATAACAGATAGAAATGGATCCCAGCATATCCCTTCCACCAATTCTATTGTCTTACCATCTATCCCTATCTCAATTTTGAAGTTTTTATAATCAAAGTTAAGGCTATAACCAATTAGCACTTTAAAAATTTCTAAATCCATTAATCTTTAATAACATGAATTCATCATTTTGTAACTTGATGCAGATTAAGACTTGCAAATGCTACAATTTGTGTACGAATGATCTCAAAATGTGCATGACCATCAGATGCTGAGTGTTCCAAAAAATTTTGAACCCAACAATCTTAATGACATGACTGTAGGAAATAAATACCTTTTCAATAAAGGTTGCTTCTACAGGTCATTTTGGCCATAGTTTGTCTTCAGGGGTTCTCCTTACGCTGATGACACTTAGCAATCCAACATCTGATCGCTGCATTGAAGAGTAGTTCTGATGCTAGGCATTTTACATACTGTCATAGATTCATTTGGTACAGATTTAGATAATAATGACATAAGTAGAAAAATAAGCAAAAATCTCCATTTGATAGTAGTTGATCTTATAATCTGTTTTATATACATATATCCTTGAAAGCAAATCTTCTCTTTTCCTTTACTACTTAATATGATTTCCATGATAGGGTTGTGGTAGAGCCACTGAGATCAATGGTATGTACTCAAGTACATACCATTGATCTGGACAACTGAACCAGAAATAAATAGATAACAACTGCCCTCTGATGAGAAATTTAACTTTAAATAGCTTAAAATTAAACATCTGCTGGTGTTTAATTTTAAGCTGTTTAAAGAGTTTTTCATTTGTGCCATTACTAACATTCACCATTTGGTACAAATCAATAATAAAAATTCAAATAATAGTGTAATGCTTTTCAGATTTTCATCAGCCATTGTCAATTGTTTCAATTTTTGCTTGTAAAATGTAAGTCACAAGAAAATGTCAATAAAATGAGAATATTCAAATTTTTTCCAAAATAATACATAAGTGTAATGAAGTATTGTCATATATTACAAATTAGGACACAAATCTGAATCTCTCATATATAACATTGCATTTTATTCAACTTGGTCTTCATCACAACAATGTGTAGATCTAACCCTCAGCTGAATGTGGACCTTACATTCTCCTCTGCAATGTCTGTGAAACTGCTCTTCTCCTTTCATCAGTGAATATGTCTGTTATATGGTTTTTTCCCTATGAGTACATTCCAAGTATATCTGTTGATCACGTAGGTCTGCACTTGGTAGCTAGAGGGTCACTTCAGGTCAATTTTGCACTTGGCTCTTTGGGGAGGATATTGAGTGCAAGGTCTATTCTGACATGTTCTTGGGGTGAGACAAATACTATGTAAGCAAAATGTTCTAATAAAGTAATCAAATTAAATAATTTCTAATCACTGAAAAGGAGAAAGGAATCTTATTCACATGCAAAACGCTTTGAACACTTTTTGTGCTATGATAAATCAAGGTAATAAGTAAGGATAATATTTCTACTTGTTACTGAGTGGAAAAAAAATTTTGAGCAAGTAAAAATGTTAATAGGAGTAGATAGGTTTGCCTATCATGTGTTTCACACTCCTTGGTCTTTTCAACAGGAGTAGAGGTTTATTTCTTGTTTCCTATTTAGGATTAGGTTTCTGGTTCCTTCAACAGTCTTTTCAACTCTGTTTCTAATGTCTCCACTTAAACTAAATTTTATTTACTATTTATTTTTCCTCAAATAGATTAGATCACCAAATTCACACTTCTCAGTCTTTTGAACAGGAGTAGAGGTTTATCTCTTGTTTCCTGTTTAGGATTGTATTTCTGGTTCCTTGTAAAGTATTTTTTAATTCTCTTTCAATCCCAGTAGCAACTTGCATCTTAGTGGCATTATCGCCTTGCTTGGGGTGAATTGATTTAAAAAAAAAAAAAAAATTAAATATGTAACCTGATGTCTACTTTAATTTTATATTTTTTTTATAGTTATTGCTAGCACTTTATCTGTTTCTCTTTTTTAACCATTTCAAGAGCCTTTACTGAAAACAGAATACATTGAAGACATTCTGCATAGAATTCATCAAACCCTGAGAGAACTTGGCGAGTCTAAAGACTGTGATAAGGTTGACCATTCTGTACTGTTTGTGGCCAGGGTTATGAGTAGCTTCTTCCAAGGTTTACAGGTGAGAATAAAGAATGAATTATCTTTTTATAATATAAACGATTGTTGTTCTTGCTTAGAGAGTAGGATGGATTCAATGTATCATCTTTCTCCATTATAAAAATTTCATACACAGGCATTGCTTGATATCATTACAATTGAGTCCACAGTGGTATCTTGGGTTGTTTATACTCAACAAGGAGATACTGAAAAGTTTTTGGTTTGACCCAATTCCAAAATCAGTATTTTAAAGACCAAAATACTAACCTGTCAGCTTGAGAGGGTAGTCCGTCAAAAAGAAGGAAAACTCTGAATTTAAACCTCTGCTGCCTTGCAGCCATACCCAATCATGGAATAGGCTTTGAGAGTAAACCCTGAGAACCATTCCAAAGCTGGAGTCACTAAGACAGTCCGATCTTATGTTCAACATTGTTTTGGTGACTCCTGCTACAACACCGGTGCCACTATATTGGACTCCCTTGGACAACATCAGTTTTATGTAGAGGTGAGACGTGCTTTATGGACAACTACTGATCTCATAAAACCTTGCCCAAGCCTGTGTCCTGGTGAGGACATGGGAAGCAACAGTCTACTGATGAGTGGATTCCGAAAGCCCTATTATATAGGGAACTGGCCACCAGCAAGAGGGAACAAGGGCAACCTCATCATTTCAAGGTCATCTGCAAAAGTGATGTGTGGGTGATGGATATGGCAATCAAGAGGTAGGAAGACGTCATTATTTACACTGAGGGCTGGAGTCATGAGTGAAGAATTGGAGACTTGCCACCAGGATGAAGCTAGCTCAAAAGAAAGAAAACAACACTACAACATTAGGGAGAGTGCAATCAAGACTGTCACCCCTCTGGTACAGTCTTAGCAGATGCTGTATCACCATCAGGTGCTCAGGCATAACTTTTTGGATGCAGATCCATGGCTTCTCAAGATTAGATGCCACATGCTATACTAATTTGGGGGAAATTTTCTAACCAAAAACTTTGCCTTTGTCCATACAGAGATACAAAGGGAATATGTGTATAGATAAATGTACAGGCATCATGTATTTATTTAGACTATAAAACAGGTTTCTGATCTGCTTTGTGGCAGAAATAGTGTATGACTAACATTTCACCTATGGATTACAAAGGGAATGAAAGTGATTCGCTACAATGTGCATAGCATGGCAAATATTTGCTGTGAAGGCTAGAACTAGTGAAACTAAAGAATTTAGTTTGTCTGAACATTTTCCAGAATAGCAACGTTTCATTTGCGCGAAAGTGGCTGTAAGGTGGAAAGCAATTCATTACCCGCAAAGTCCACATAGATGCTTTTGGACTCTATAAAGAATGGAAAGTGAAGACAAACTATCTAGAATATCTTTTACTCTTGACATATTTAGGCTCACATGCTTTTCAGCCTTCATTGGGTATATGTTGCATAAAAACTAGAAGGGATAGCTCACATTGGCTGAAAAGATAGTAACTTCAAATATAACACGGGAAAATATGTTCTTTAATAGATTTCTTACACAACAAAACAAATGAAAAAAACGTCTATTTACACCTGAAAAAGTGGCTGTTTATGGAAAAAATATTCTGCTGCATGAAATGAAACAGAAGTAGTCTCTTAGTTTGATATGACTTCTGGATACACAATATTCTTGCTTCTCTTCTTGGGTGCCAGTATAAAAATCTTGTTTAGGGACCCAACCAGCTGGCCAAAGAGAAGTTAGTGATCTTCAAAGATTGTTGATGGTCATGACAAAACGGAGTCTCACTGAGAATTGAGATTGCTTGAGTTCAAAGAGAAAGTCTCTTGGAATTATGGCAGTCTTGGGAATGAATGCATGAAATTACTACATTTAATTTGAAATGGCATGTTTGTGTTCTTTAATGATATCTGCTGGCCTTAAATGACATGAGGTTAACCTCATAACCTCAGTCACAGTTGGTTGTCTTGTGTATCTTAATGCAAAAGTGAATTTTATTTGATTATGACCATGGTACACAAACATAAGTTTCCAATCATATAATATGGTAGAACCTCAGTTCACAATTTTAATTCGTTCATGAAGGCCATTCGTAACCTGAAATGTTTGCAAACCAAAACTATTTTTCCAGTAAGACTCAATGTAGAGAAAAAAGTCACAGTACAATAAAATTGGAAAAGAAAGCAAAGCACAACACATGAATGTATACAACACGGTGGTTGACTCAGAATTTATTCCATTTGAGTTAACTCAGTTTGGCAATGTTCGAGAAGCTAAATTTTGTTCGGTAATGGAGGCATTTTCTTCTCTAAGTTTCTGTTCGAAAATTGATTTGTTTGACGTGAGACATTCAAAAACCGAAGTTGCTCTGTAATTGTGCTTGTCTTTCCCTTCATTTGTTTGCATGACTATTATTTCCTGCCAATATCTCATAAATAATGAACTATTCCATTTTGATCACAGAAGAAAAAAGACATATCAAAAATGCTAATTGGTTTCAGTGAGAAAATGAAAGAAAGAAGGGAAGATAGAGGTGTTTTAGGTCTGTTTCTGTGAAATGCAAAAGTTGTCAATTTCAAATCTTTTCATTTCTACCTCCTTATATTTAAAAATAACAACCAGCATTCATATTTGATTGTTATTGCAATATTTTGTTAAAGTTGTTAAGCTCAAATATTTAACAATGTGATAGGAAAAATTCTTATGGATTACAACTTGACATGAACTTATTCAATCATTAACTAGAGAATTAAAATTCATCATAAATTTAAAATAGGAAAACCATGAAATTCTCATGGGTTAAAATTAAATTTTATTGCTTTACGACTTGGCATGAGCTTATTCAATCATTGACTAGAGAATTAAAATTCATCATAAATTTAAAATAGGAAAACCATGAAATTCTCATAGATTAAAATTAAATTACTTGATAATGTCGCAAATGTCAGGAACGTGGGGTTTGGGTTATTGTTGGTCATTCCAAAATAATGTAATATGCCAACATCAAAATACAAGACAACTTTCAACTGTAAACCTTTTAAATAGAGAATGGAACTTTCTGCTATAAAACAAAATGAAAAAATTGAAACAGAATGTCCAAAAAGAAGCCCTCATGGCTAAATCAGTGTCTGGACCATTCTGGATCATGGAATAAAATATCCACAAATCCTTCTACTTCTATGTGTCGTATACCTTCAGGATATTTGTAATCGTGGCTCTACACAATTTCTTGTATTTGGCAAACTCATGTGAGTCCAGGTAATGAAAAAAAAAAAAATGACACAAAATATGGAATTCAAACAAACAACAATTAATTAAATGTATTAACAGGATATGTTACAGAAGCATAAAAAAAGAAACAAAGTTGAAGTTATGAACATTTCAATATAATCTTTAGTTTGTATCTTTGAAGTACTTGCATGCTTATCAGAGTGATAGGAAATGTGTGTTGCTGCTCCAAAAGGGAAAAGAAAAAGAGCCTTTCAAATATTGTGCTGCCTGTGATTATCATCAATGGACAATAATCTAACAATTAAATGCTGGATGATCCCCTCACAAATAAAGACTATTTCTTCCATATCCCTTCAGGTCTCCACAATTTCCTGTCCTTCATAGCTTTTAGTAAAATTTGACTTTTTGCTATCTCTCCTAACCCCTGTTCTGCCAACCATTTATACAAATTCATTAGGTAGGTTATGTGCTGTTTTCCTCTATCCCTCAATATATCCTGTGTGTATCAAATTTTCTTAACCCTTTTTCCTCATTATATACGTTTCAAATATCTCTGATGTAAAGTATAAACATTTTTTTTTTCAATTTCTCTAAAATTTAATCATTGCTCACCTGTTCAATCCATGGTATTCTCAGCATCCTTCTATAGAACCACATTTCTATTGCTTCAAGTTTCTTCATTTGTGAGAAGATGGTCCAAGCTATTCCAAAAAGTTTGCGTAATGTTTTCAATGCAGTCTGCTTGGAAGTTTTACAAGAAATAATGAATAAATTCAATGCATAAAATAGTAGGAAAAATAAACTTATTTAAAGTCAAATAAATTTTAAATTGGACAATAATCTTGAATTGTTTATATCATTAAATAAATACTCTTGTTTGAAAATACATATGTCTACTTTGTTTTTTTATGTCTCTGTAATTGTCACATTTGTTTCTTTGATTTCTAATTGATGTTTCAGGATTGTTCTTGGTTGTCATCTGCAGAAGACTTGCTTCTCATTATGTTTCTCTTTTCCTTGGATAATGATTTAAAAATTTCTGGTAAGTTTTACTTCATTAAAATTTTATTAATAAAGTTATTCACATTAACCTAAAAACTCAAGTTCTTAAATAGCATTTTCAGATCAAGACTTTCATATAGATGTCATGCATGGTGCCAAACTGATTCAGAAATATCTAAACAACTGCTTTCTAAGATCAATGATAAAAATGTCTCTGAGCAAATGAACTCTGTAGGTCCTAGAGAAAACCATCCTTCTTTGAACCTCATGGGCTGGCTCTACATAATCACAAACAACTGTACCAAATAACAGAAACTGCGTTACTTGAGGCTTTTCAACAGCAGCAACAGCTAAAATGGTTATCTCCTGTAACTGGAAAAATAATGATATGATCAAGATGTTGCCATTACTCAATACTTTAAACAAAAGGTTAGGAAGGAAACTACTATCATTACTGGAATAAGTGATAACGGTGAACTTAAGAAACCTATTTTCTTGAAAAATTGTTTAAATAGAAAATTTTATAAATTTCAACTAAAAGTAGCACTGGCAGTTTGGTCAGGGAATGCTATATGTTTCCTTATAAAGAGACGGTCAGTCAGTATTACAATTACATTTTCTTTTTTTGTATTACTTAATAAAATTAATAAATGATCAAGAAAACTTAGTTCAGTGTTCAAAGAAAAAGAAAAATATCTTTTTCTGAAAATTATAAACTTTAAAAAGAAAAGGTTTGTTTTCTGCTTGAATTTCTGGGATGATGAGTTATCATTATTTACATTGTTTACAGTCAGACTAATGTCCTCATCTTTGTTGTTGTTCTCAGGTGCCTGTTGTTCTAGGTAACCTTCAGGGAAATTTGAACTGAACCCTATCTATAGGAATAAATTGTTCTTGTTCCACTGTCTGTGTCTAGGGATATCTCATCTTGTTCCTATTGCTTAATCTGTTTCCACAGAGTTGTATCACTAGTTCAGTGACTGAATTTACAATAAATAGGTTACCAAATTTGAAAACCACAACTTTAATTCACTAGGCCATTGTCTTGTGGGGCAATCCTAAATCTAGAACTGGGAGCCTTAAACCTAATATTCTCATTGCCTGCATTGCTGTTATGCTTGACAGTCTTTGCCTGCTGCTGTTGAAGCTTTTGTGGTCATACATGTCTCTCTCTCTCTCCTGTCATTTCTGTTTAATTAATGGTTCCCTTATTGTATTTATTTCTATGCTAGGTCTACTGAGGAGGCCAACATGGCATAATGTAGTGCACAATAGCCAAAATGTGGTGACAAAAACAATCTATTAATCACAGTAATCAGTTTGATACAAGATAAATTAATGTTTAAGGTTAGCTAAGAAAATGAGATTTGACTAGAAATGTATGTAGTTATTTTGATTATTTCAGGAACTGGTTGTGTGGCCTTGATGTAACTTGACCATATTCAGAGAGGACCTTACTGTGCATGCATATACAGACACTATTGCTTGTTAATGAACATGCATTTTGGTTTTGAATAGTTTCACATTCCTTTACAGTGAGACACCATTCATAATGATCATGCAAATAGATTCTTTGTTTCATGCAGGTTTTTTTTTTTTTAAATATTGTGATATCCAGGATATTCCCCTAACTCTTCTGAGACTAGATTTGTCTCCCTGGCTTTTCTCCACAGCTAAAAATCACCATTGAAATGCTATGAAGGAGAATACAAGTTTTTGCATGGCAGTACACAGTGGATTAAAGGAAAAATGTTTCCCTCCATCACAACACTGGACTGTATACAGTAAGAATAACAGGAAAAAATTCTGGAACTTGGTTGATCTGTTCTCACCCACCCACTTTATTCATCCAACCCTGGACCAACAAATCACTACCTTTTTTGATCGCTGCAAAATGCTTTGATGGAGAAAATTTTCTCAAATAAAAGCCAGATTCAAGAGTTCATCAAAAATGTTTTCACAAACCTGAAAAATTTGATTCAAAAGATATTGAAGATCTGCCTGATAAATGTCAACAAGTCATTTAATTAATGGTGAATATATAATTGAATAAAATGTAACTGAACTTTATTTTTTGAAGAATAAGATTGATAAACAAAAACAGAAATTAAGACTCCATCTAATAGTTGGATTATTTCAATCAGTTAGTAAATGTTCACTTTGTAATTCCTATAGACAATGATCATATTCAAAATCCCTGTTACTTCATTCTTTTATAGTTGAATTCTCTATGTAATAAATCAGGATTCTATGATGGTTGCACTCTCAAGGAGGTTTCTTGTTTTGAACATCTGTTGGGGCTCAAGTTCTCCCCAAACCTCAACTGGAACTTTTATATACAATCCATTGCTAAAGCTGTTGGAAAAATGTTCAGCTCCATATACTGCTCCAGAAAGTACCTGATTCAACCTGCCATACATCTATACAAGAGTCAGATCAGACCAAAAATAGATTATTTAGGCTGGAGCTGCCCAATCCAGCCTTGACAGTGTCTTTAACCCCTTTACCACAGATGCAACATCACAAGTGTATTGCAAATCCAGGGAAAAAGTTCAGACAAGCTACATACATTAATTCTACCAGTTCAGACCTTTACAGATAAGACCCACCATGCTATATACACAAGGGTGAACTATTGTCATTCCCTTTATATTCCATTGATAAGAAAAAAAGTAACATTCAGACAACTTCCCAAGAGCCATTGCTTTGTGGAACAAACTCCTGATAATTCAGGGTTAACCATTATCAATCCAACATATTTTCATAATTTACAATTCTTACCTCCTTATATATTTATAAAACAACCTCATTCAATAATCATCTACCTTGAGTGTCTCTTGAGCCTTTTTTTTATTTTAGCAAAAAAAATCACACATTCCTTTGTTACCAGTTATGGAATCTATGAAAGATATTGATTTATGTGTGCAAGTTATTACCTTTGGCATATTAATTCTACATTCTTGGTTTTGTATTCTTGCAGAGTTAACCCGCTCAGAAGTGCGTTCAGCTTGGGTCACTGGATTGCAGACTCTCTTGAAGCAGCGATCTTTACAGCTGATCGAATCCAGTTTTTTTGCTCGAATCTTCCAAGAGATTATGAGCGTGGTTGTGAATAAAGTAGCTTCAATGCAGCAGTAAGTTTGCTTTCTTGGATCATTTTATGAAGCCTTTCTTGCATGTAAACACAGCCTTCCACTTTGCATAAAGAGGATCTCTTTATTCAGGGAGTTAAAGGAAATAATCATCATTTAATGAAAAACAAGAATCCACATTTCTTTATTCTGTCATGCTAACAAATGAATGATATACTGAAGAAAGAAGGAGAGCAAAAAAAGAAAGATTATATTTTAACAAATTAAACTGATATAATCGTAGTTTTGACTGCTTGATTCTCTTCTTCTGGACCAGAGTCTCATTCACTTCTTTCTTTTCTGTTGATGTGATAGCAGAAAGTTATTAATGCACAGGCAACATTGACATGCAGAGGTTTGGTGATGCCTATACCCCTAAGACTCAAGTAGTTGGAGTTGCTACTCCAGTCTTGCTTATCAAAACACAGCTTCACATTCACACCAGCTTGTTGGACTGTAGGGTGCTTGTATTATGAAGTTAACAGAAACAATTTCAAATTACAAAATCTAAATCTTACTTATTATAAAACGCAGATTGTGTGTGTGTCTGTACGTTTATATATTGGATCGGATTTCCTACATTTTTCAACCGATTTCAACAAAACTTCACAGGACTACGTAAAATTACCTTGCGGTGGTTCTGATAGCGCCAAAAATTGGAAAAACACAATTGTTTTTGCACAAAATCAATTTGAAAACACAATTAAGAGGCATTAATGAAAGGGGGACAACTCATATCGAGTTATACTTATTAATATCGAGTTTTACTTATTATAAAACCCAGGTTGTTTGTGTGAGTGTGTCTGTGTTCGTTTATATATGGGATCGGATTTCCTACATTTTTTCAACCGATTTCAACAAAACTTCACTTTTTTTTCTTTTTTTTTTTTTGGCAGGTAGTGTTTCTTATTGTCTTGCACACTTTTTTCTTTATTTTTACATTCAGAATGCTTTAAAAATTCCATTTACAAGACAATTGTTTATAATAAAATTCTATTCAATCGGTAGACTCATAATGATTGAAAACAATGTTTTTGTTTGGGTTTGACCAATTCGTAAAAAAAAAACCCAAAAAAAAACAAAAAAATAAAACTAATTAAGACATGCGTGTCCGTCAACCTTAAACAATAATATTTGTCAATTTTATTTTTCAGTCTTTATGACGGTCGATACTTGATCTATCTCTTACTGTTACATCCTCGGGCAACGCTGGGCTCTACTGCTAGTTTTTATTAAACTCTTTGATTAGATGCCCTCCTGATATGGATTCCCTGGGCTGTCACACCTCCTCCCTTCTTCTGCACACTATTGATGGGCAACCTGTCATTTCATTTCCTTTGTATCTCTGGTGTTATGCAATGTTGGAAGACAGTATGAATTTTTCAACATTACTTTTAATTTTATTAATAATTTTATTATTTAATAATTGATAATAATATAAGAAGTTCTAATAACATAGGTTTTATTTAGTACTTCATTTTTTGTTTTTTTATTTATCTTAAACATTCAAATTATCTACTGCTTCTCTATTGTCTAAATTTACCTCTTAGTACTGTAGAACATTGTCACAGCATCAGTACTACAGGGTTTTCAAACACCACATTTCTTAATTTTCTTGTTATATATTATCTTTAATATTCTTTCTGTTTTTTATAGGATAAATAAAAACTAATTTTAAAAATCAATTTAAAAGGGTAAATTTTAATAAATGAACTTATTTTTCAAAAATTAAAATCTGCAAAAATAGGTTTTATTTTTCAGTAGAAAAACCTGCTTGCAGTTCACACAAATAGAAATTCTTTGTAGTTACTTGACAGATCAGTTTGACTGGTTACTTGCTAAATATTAAAGAAAAGTATTTTGTTGGAGTGTTTGAACGCTTCATGTTATTGACTGAAAGTTAATAGTATTTTCTGTGTTTTTGTTTACTTTCACTCTCATGATTTCCTAAATATTTTTTATCTTTACTTCAGGTTGAACAGAGTTTGTGAAGAAATGAAAAGATTTTTACAAACAGCTTGTGAGCAGACAGACAATGATATCATCATCAATCATATGTCAACATGTTTGACCCAAGTTGATATTTTTGCAGAGCATCTAATGCCACCACGACAGGTGAGAAGCATCCCCACTCTTTCATTTCCCTTTTTTTCTTTTCCTTTTTTTCTTTTTTTTTTTTTTCTTTTTTTTTTCTTTTTTTTTTTTCCTTTTTTTTTTTTTTTTTTTTTTTTTTTTTTTTCTTTTCTTTTTTTTTTTCTTTCCTTTTTTTTTCCTTTTTTTTTTTCCTTTTTTTTTTCTTTCCTTTTTTTTTCTTTTTTTTTTTTTTCTTTCCTTTTTTTCTTTCCTTTTTTTTTTTTCTTTTTTTTCTTTTCCTTTTTTTTTTTTTTTTTTTTCTTTTTTTTCTTTCCTTTTTTCTTTCCTTTTTCTTTCCTTTTTTTTTTTTTTTTCTTTTTTTTTTTTTTTCTTCTTTTTTTTTCTTTCCTTTTTTTTTTCCTTTTTTCTTTCTTTTTTTTCTTTTCCTTTTTTTTTTCCTTTTTTTTTTCCTTTTTTTCTTCCTTTTTTTTCCTTTTTTTTCTTTCCTTTTTTTTTCCTTTTTTCTTTTTTTTTTTCTTTCTTTTTTTTCCTTTTTTTTTTTTTTTTTTTCTTTTTTTTTTTTTTTTTTTTTTTTTTTTTTTTTTTTCTTTCTTTTTTTTTTTTTTTTTTTTTTTTTTCCTTTTTTTTTTCCTTTTTTTTTTTTTTTAAATTCCTTTTTCTTTCCTTTTTTCTTTCCTTTTTTTCTTTCCTTTTTTTCTTTCCTTTTTTTTCTTTCCTTTTTTTTTTCCTTTTTTTAATAAAAACAACACTTTGTTGCAAGTTTCTAATGTATTTAAGAATAAAAAGAGACTGATTTAAAAAAGAAAAAATGTCTTTTGTATTAGATATCTGTGGTAAGATAGTAACCAGGAGGCACGGTAGAGTAATGGTTAGCAGCTCAGATTGAGTAATTGGAGAACTGAGTTCAAATACCAATCTTGTTTATTACATTTCACTTATGTGCTAATACCCTTGGGAAATATATGAATCCATGTTTTCTCTTCCCCCAGCTATGGATAAAATAGCAGACTGGGTCCTATAGCCTTGGTTGGTGACTAGGAGAAGAAAGACTATAAATTCAAACTGGATTGCATTATCCTAAAGTGTGTATTCATGCAGCTGGCAACTGCTTGTGAATCAAATTCCTACTCCTCTGAATTTTCACATCAAAATGAACATAACTTTTGCCACACTGTCCGCTTTCATTTGAATGTGGCAGGTTCATTTGACAGAGCTAGTTCAGCTGACCAGGGTGAATGCCACTTTAAAAATATAAAAGATAGTAACATACAGCTACATTTTATAAACTGGCTCTAATAACTTCCATTGGTTAACAATTAAATATGAAAAAATAGAAAAGTACTTGGGGTAAACTTCTTACCCTTTTATCTACAAAATCTGAGATGGTAATAAAATGATAACACTAAAAGATTTTTTAGGGTAATCTTCATTGCACTAGAGATGTCATCTGTCAATGTCTTTGTAATGACAATGATGAACTGTTCAAATGGAAATGTTCAAAGAAAGCTAGAAAATATCAAAACAAAAAAGGTTGGTGGGTATCAGTGTAATTAAAAGGAAACATACAATCACAGTTTTAGTTCTATATTGATATCGAGTAACATTGGTTATTGTTAAATGGCTGTGAGCATTAATGGTCTTGGGTGTTAAGAGAGGAACAAATCAACAATGAAACAAAACGTTATTCTTACGGTATGAACCATATAAATGGTAAAGATTTAAAACTTGTTTAAAATCACTTTTCTCAGATGATGTTAATTAAAGTTTAGATTAATGAAACTCACAAGGGAATACAAAATGGTTATTATAATAAAACATTTAAGGCACACACACACATATATAATGAAATGGATTAAATCCGACATATTTTGTTTTGATTAAATATTATTTTAGATGGATACTCTTATACAAGTAAATGCTCTGTTTATTTAATTAAATAGTATTTTTATTTTAATGAACTTATACCCTTTGCCAAGGATATTTGTGCAAAAATGAATGTAACAAACTTGAAAAGTGATGTGATATTTTGCCAAAAAAACCTGCATGAAGAATTGGCAGGTACATTGTCATGAATGTGATAGACAGTACACAAGTTCACTTAATGATATCTTTTTGTCAATTGAGTAGCCCATGAGAGTGTCTGTTTGCATGCATGCAATAAGGTTTAACTTATTAGTTGTCAAGTTACATCAAGCTTGCACATTTGGTTCTAGAAATATTCAGAATGGCTAGGGACTCTTCTGACAGTGTGTAATAATATCTAATATTTTTTCTTTTCAGTTTCAAGAATATCTAATGCTTACTGGGCAGTTAACTGCCATATTTTGGGATCTGGAAGGTCAACCAGATGGGACTGTATGTCGTTTTCCTGAATCTTTGTTATATACATCCTTATTTCTGGCATATATGTTGGAGATTCTTCAAGGCTGGTCTTTGGATAAAGAATCAGATTGCAAAACTCTCAACTGGGTTCAAAAAGATCCTCAGATTTTGGAATTATTCTATGGTCTGATTTGTAGTATGGCCATTTGCCAAAATTGGTTAGAGACTGATCAACAGGTAATTCACAACATTTCATTCTTACTGCTTGTAATAATGAAAATATTTTTTCCACAGATTTATGAACGGCATCAAAAGTAATCTTTTGTTTTCTATGTATTTAATTTTATACATTTTTGATGCCAAATAGAAGATTACTATGAATGTTTTTCAATTTCAGCATACAATAACAAATTTTCAAAATATTTATGTATACTCTCAATCAGTCAGAGTATCAAATATCAAATCTTATAATCACTAGCACCAAATACCAACTAAGGTGTAATGTGTTGCTGGCACAGGTGTTTTCATCTGTTCATTATTTTCACTGATCTCTGGATGTAGTTGTGTAGCAGTTTATCTTTGTGTACATTCTAGGATATGGTTATCAAAGAATCCCTCTGGTCATTCTAGCTGACCATAGTTTTAATGGAAGACAGAGAATTTACAGAAAAATAAACACTTGTAAAAGAAAATAGACAGTTTAATACCATACTCTATTAAGGGTTACAATCACTCTTGATTGATTTCTTCTAAGATCTTATTGAGGTATTGAGAAAAATGTTAACCTCCAAGACAATCAGAGATCTAGTTAGCAAGAAACATCAACAAAGATGCTAGGATTAATAATATAAGAGCTGGCATGCCAAAAGAGCTATATAGGTGAAACCTTCAGAAATCTAAGAGCTCATATCTATGAACATAAGAGAGCTACATTGGGACAACCCACTAAACTCTCTCATAACACAGAAATAAAACAGGCCATAAGTTCAATTTTAAAAAACACCACCCTATTAAAAAATAAACATGCTTTACTATGAAGACAATATTTAGAAGGGATACTTATAAACACTTTCTCATAAATAAACACACACCAAACACTTTTTTTTCATATCACCAACTTTCATAAAACCCATATTTAAAGAATCTAAGATCCATATTCCTGTGGCCAATGTAACCAAAGTCTTTCACTGCACCAAACAACCACCTATCAACATATGGACACTACCAAACAGAAACAAAAATGCCCCCCTCACACACACACACACACACACACACACACAATCACCAAAATGTTGCAAGACCAACTAGGAATATGATACACAGACATGCCAAGATCCAACTACCATTTTCAGGAATTATACACATGGACGTTACTTCAGTGACACAAAGATGACCACTAGAATCTACTCACACACTAACACTACAAGACAAAGATCCATGAGGTTTACCTGACCAATGAAAAGCAAACAACAAATTCCGGTACTTTTAGTATACTAAAAGTACTGGAATTTTCTCTTCCTTAATTCATTTCCCAAAAATTTCTGAGGAAGCTTAAATAAAAATGAAACCTGTTAAATTTATAAATGTTTTTTTATTTGTTCCTTATCCTATCATTGCTGCATTATAATCCATAATTGATCCCTATATATATATATATATATATAAGAAATTTTATAAATGGAAACCATTTCATTGAAACTAGATTTGATTATGTGTTTTGCCTTTCTAGGCTTCATCAGATCTAAAAACAAAAGAAAGAAATATTTGTGTGTATGCTTAAATAATAAATCATTTGTCAAGTTTCTTCAAAACTTTGCCAGGATTCTGTATCCTATGTTTTATATATATATATATATATATATATATATATATATATATATATATATATATATTGAATATTAGACTGTTGTTTCATTTGAGGAAGTAAACTGTCAAATCATTTGAATATTACATAGAATTTTTGATGGTTTTAAACAGGTTGTGAAGAATGCTGGCATCCAGAAAGAAATATCAGAATTAAATGGAATTATTATGAAGCAAATTGAATACTTAGAAAAAGAACAAGCAGAAAAAGTATTTGATCTTTTCATACAAAAGTAAGTAAACATATTCTAAATTATTAATCCAGTTTTAATTTTTTTTTTTTTTTTTTTTTTTTTCATGCATTTATTCTTGTTGAGACAATGGATGTAGGCTATTCCCTCCTCTTGTCTACATTAATAAGCAGTGCCGAAATAATTGAATATGTAATTGTGAAATATTTGAAAGGGCTGAACATAGCTTCTGGCATACTTCCAGCTTATCTTTGAGTAACGTGTATCATTTAGAAACCTCTCTTTGATGATATTTTTATCATGTCATAAGTTTCATAAGCTTATGGCCATATCATATTTGAAACACCAGTTCTCATAAAATTACAGAAATTATGCCTGGTAAGTACCTAGATGATTAACTGCTTGGGAATACTTGGTTCCTTGAGCTTGGATGTGTGAGTTGTTTAATGGATAATGGCTCAGAATTAGAAATCAGAGAGCTTAGTTCCAATTCCAGTCAGGTCCATTATATTCACTTATATGCAAATAATCTTGGGAATCTACCTCTTCTCTTCCTAGCTATAAGTTAATTAGTAAGACTTGTACCATTTAATCATTACCTCCATAAAATTATTACCATCTAAAAAAAAATATTTTCTGACTTTAAATAACCTTGATAAGATCAAATTGGCAGCTAATCACAAAAGTACTTAAAATCTGCTGTTATGTCACTACCCTGTGCTTGTTCTATACTTTCATGGTAATTGTCCTGATGAATTTTCCTCTATGGTACCTAGACTTTATGAATTTAAGTGCAATACTAGATTGGCAACATGGTCACATCATTTTGCAGTTGAACTGGCTAGATGTAACTATAAGTTATTTGCTAAGAGTTTCTTTTCTCACCTGTGAAACTCTCTTCCGGTTTCTTGCTTTTACAGCTAACTTTGACCTTTGAAAATTTAAATGCAATGTTAATTGTTATCTACTGTCTTCTTGATTCCTCTTTTATTGTTCTCACTCCTTAATGATGTTTTCTTTTTCTTATTGTTTCACACTCATTAACTCCTTGTGTTTTACTGGCTTTACTGCTTCACTTTGGGTGAAATGATTAAAAAAAAGGTAAATAAGCTGTAAAAAAAAAAAAAAAAAAAACAACAATCTAAAAATATCATAAACTGTTAAGGTCAATGGGGCCCCACATGTATTGTAGATATAGCAGCAGTGGTGTGTCTAAGGGAAGATAGCCTGGTGGAACTCATACCTCTTCAGACTGGTTTTAAATTTAGATTTCCTTCAAAGTATAAGCGCCCCATCGGCTCTGCTATGTGAGCAATAGCTAGCAGGGAGAAGAGATGATACATGTGTTGTTGTTTTGTTTTTTGTTTTTTTTTTTAACCAATATTCATCCAATACAAGGCCCAAGTGCCACTTAAGGTAGAGGGTTACTGGGCTTATATTAGCATAGGAAAGAACAAGTGTTAAGAGTATAGAGCTGAGGCAGACTTTAGAAGGAACTGGAAACCCAATTCCTAAACAGGAAACAAGGGATAAATTTCTACTCCTTTTCAAAAGACTGGGGAGGAGTGTTCAAGGGTATTTGTGCATCTTTTCCTGAGTTGCTAACCATTACATTCCCTGCACCTCCACAATAGCATTTCAAGAATCTCAAATTATATTTTTAAATTGTTGATTTATTTAAAATTTTGCAAGGATCAACTTGATATTTGATTAAAGATTAAAAGTATCTGTTCAAAAACTTCTTTGTCATTACATCATATACCAAATAATGTGTTATAAAATCATGCATTGTATAAATATTGCTTTGTTTTCCTTTGTGTTCATTTTATACATTGTTTATTAGTATTAATCTTTTAAAACATTTTTTATCAGTTGAGATATATTTTAATTATTGTTAATTTTCAATAATATTTTTTTCTTCTTAATTTCTATTGCTTTTCATTGCAAATACTCATTGTTATTAAATAGTAAATTGGAAATAATGAATACTCTTAGCCAGACTCTAACTTGAATCTAAAGAAGATACTTGCTATATTCTTTCATCTACAAGAGACAACAATTGCAGAGCAATATACATACTTATTCCTTATTCCTCTGCTCCTATATACTCAGCATTACCATATTTAATGCATACACTAATTTTTTTTTTTTAATCAAGTCCCTTTAGGAAGTGGGTGATCATGGCTCTCCACAGATACTTTTTTATGGTCAGTGAATTGCTATAACTTCTTGAGAAAGATGGTTGAATTTCAGTTTTAATAGTATTAGTTATAGTAATACTTCAAATTTTACTATTAGCTGAAGCATTATGAACCAACTGAGGTTTACTTTAGGCAAAATGTAATTTATAGTTTACTGATTTCAAGATTGTAATTTTGACATAAATATATATATAAATCTAATTTTGACATCGCTCTCTTTCTCTCTCTCTCTATACACACACACACACACACATACACATAAAATCTGTGTGCACATTTTTTTTAACACTTCCACTGCACTGGATATACTTATCTGGTAAATTTATGTATATACTATTTGATTTTACATAAACGTGAGCCTCTGAAGTTGTTCTTTGTTTCACTTATTTATTGTTTGTATTGTGTGACAAAAAAAAAACAGATTCCATTTTAAATTATCTTGGATGATGATAGAATTTCTAATGAAGATATTGTAAACTTAAAACACAAAAGATCACTTAACTGTTTGAGTTAATTTGTTGTCTGGTTGAGACCAGTTAATTTGATAAAGGGCAAAAATGGAATTTGTCCTTTACTTTTATTTCTTTTAACTATTTACTTTGTTTTAAGAATTTGGCTTTTATGAAATGATTTCTTCATATGCTTATGATTTCACAAGTTGGTTTAATTTAACTTTATTTGGATATTAAAATTAGAATTAAAACATTTTCATAATGAAAAATGAATGATTGCATTTCTTGTTGTTTTGCAGATCAGTGGAAGTAAGTCACTGGAGGGCATTGGGACTAAGTTTGCTGTTGAATCACTCGTCCACATATGAGCTCACAGAAAGCAGGTTGCTATTTTTTTTTTTTTCTTTGTTTGTTTGTTTTCTCCATATATGGTAAACCTTATCCAAAAGAAAAATCTGTTAATAGATAGATAATGTTCAATTTGTTTCTGGAAGGTTACTAAACACAATACCAAAGGAAGATGTAAACATTCAATGAATCCTCACTCAGCATCTCGCTGACTAGCCAAAAGACTACCACATGTTGCATTTCATTTGCATCACAAGGAAACAATAGGAGAAAACAAATGCCACTTGAAGAAATGAAAACCCTACACCTGTTTCTAATATATTTAGGTGTTTTATTCTGAAGCTTTGCTTGCCCGATAATAGCTTCAAGGCTTTTGGGTCTTTCCTTGCATTGGGTATTGTAGAGTATTTTGCTATTATCTACTAAAATGTGACTTCTGTTGATAGTTGTATTTTGGTTGATTGTCATGAATTGCACTGAGTTTTGACAGGTAACAGGCCAACCTGTGTGTGTGTGTGTGTGTGTATATATATATATGGTGCGATGGATAAATTGTCTAAGTTATGCAAAAAGAAAAATAACACTGACATCTCATTTCAACAGATATATTTACCAAAATATCTTGAAATACTAAAGATTAAATCTATTCAATAAAATCACCATTGGCTTCAACTACGCCCTCCAAATGACTTCGGAATCTCCTGCACAGTCTCCTTGTTTAAGTTGGTGAATGTTGCCATAATCCTTGTTTTCAGTTCATCTTTGATATTACAAGGAGTTTTGTTGGTCTCTTGCTCAACTGTGTCCCACGCATAATAATCAAGTGGGTTGGTCTGGGGACTTAGGTGGCCAGATGTAAGGGGTGATGTGGTCACATGATTGGGTTCTCCTGCCTGTGCAGCATGTTGTCAGATGTAGGCTCTTCCAGCAGCCACTCTCTTGACCCAGGGTAGCACTACCTTCTCAAGGCACTTGATGTAGGCCTCTGTGTTAATTCTGAGGCTCTGTGAGAAAATGAATGGAGGTATAACATTGCTATCACTAGTGATCACCCCCCCAAACACCTTCATAATCACCATTAGACTCCTCCAACTCTTTCTGAATCTTCTGCATTGGTCTCAGATTGACACCCAAACACTCTGAAATTTTTGTATTGGAGCTTCTGGCACAAATGCCAAGCAGTACAGCATTTCCAAATTTCTGGTGGAGTGAATTGTATCATGGTGCTCTTTTTCTCATAGACAGTGACCAAGTGACCCTACTATACTGTGCAGTCAACAAAATCAAAAACAAACAATGTGCATACATGAAATTAAAAATATAAAATGGCAACAATTTACCCATCCCACCCTGTGCATGGGGGAATAATGGATTGCAGCTTGGATTGAGGAGTCAGGGAGCTGAGTTCAAATTTCAGTAGAGTTCACTTTTTTGCTAATGCCCTTGGGAAAGGTATCAGTCCATCTCTTCCCCCCTCAGCTATGGGTAAATAGAAGGACAGACTAGGTTTTATAGCCTTGAGTGACAACTGGTCTTGGAGAAGGAAAAACTCTTAATTCAAAACCTCTAACTATGGATAAATAGTTAGGTAGTCTGGATTCTGTAGCCATGGTTGGCAACCATACTAAAAGAAAGACAACTCTGAATTCAAATCTGGAGCTGAAGTCCCGTAGACAGTCTGGTCATGTTCAGTTTTGTTCTGGCAATTCCTGTGAGGGCGTCAGTACCAAGCTTTAACAACAGCAGTGACATGGAGAGGAGAGACATGCTGCAACTGACAATCTTTCATTAAAAAAAATACACCCTGCCGGGTCTGCACCCAAGAGGTCATAACTCTTCAGGTGCAGATCTATAGTGTCTCAAGACTGATGGATGCTATATATATATATATATATATATATATATATATATATATATATATATATATATTTATATATATATATATATATATATTTATATTTATTTACCTCCGCTCCATCCCTAATACAACACTTGTGTTAGTTTGCTGTACTATTATCTACATGAATTTTGTTCCTGATGTCTTGTTTGTTTTGTTGTTATTTATAAAAAATTAACATTCCTTAGTTTAATATATTTAAAATGTAATTAAACCTTATTAGTCACTAATGTACATACTGTATGTGTAAGCATCTTTAGTTGCATTTGTGTCACTTTTTTTTAAGGATTGGCTGTTATTTTGAGGAAGAATCAACCGAGAGACAAGTGCAGACATTGAGGATAATTCTCAAACATTGTCCAGATACAGTTTGCTGGGAGATTACCAAAAAGCTCATCTTTCAGCTAATGTCACTAACAAAAGAACAGTTATTAGAAACAAATCGTGAGTTGAATTTTTTTTTTGTAATTGCCAGGATGGAGAGATAATAATAATAATAATAATAATTATAACTAGAGTCAAAAAAGATTTTATCATCCTTATATAATACTGGACAACAACAAAAATAACATTTTTAATTTTTTTTTCTGTTTGCTACTTGGATAAACAATACTGTACCTGATTCTGAAAACTGGACAAAGAATTGTACTAACATTCCAGGGTTTTTAGATATATACATAGCATAGATAATATATTAATAGTACAAGCCTCTCTTAAGACTTGTATTATTGGGTCGATGACTCTTTCCTAAAGGTTTATATACTATTAATATATTTATCTTGAATATAGATGTGCTTTATCACTAAAAACCAACTTGCTCAGATAATTGTGAGTATAGATTTGGAATTATCATACTCAATTTAGTTTATATAGTCTAATTTGTTTGGCTAGGAAACAGTATTTCTCCTTTCATTGTAATTATAATAATATATGATAGTCTTCTCATTCATTTGCTTAATGCAAAATCTGGACATGCTAGAACAATTCTAAGTACAGCTTTAGAATCAGTGTAATCAAACTAGACCTAAAAGTAAATCACAAATCCTAATTTCAAACTGACTTTTCTTCCTATGCAGTGATGTGCAGAGGTTTAGTGATGTTTCGTGTAATCTGAGATCAATTTTTTGATTGTATGCCTCTAAGATTCAAGGAAGACATTTTAAATATCTAAAAACAGATGAAACATGAAATAAATGCTTTATTCAAATTAGATATAAAATAGATTTTTATTTCACTCTTTGATTAGATGCCCTCCCAATATGGGTTCCTGGGACTGTTATACCCTATGCATGCTAATGTTCCTGTGAAAGAAATTTTTTTTAAATATAGTTATAATTTTTTACTTTAATTATTATCCAAATTAAAAAAAAAAATTACAATCAATTTACACTAGTACTTATTAACCTTTTGAGCCTTTTGTCCCTCAACCATCAGATACATTGGCTGAACTTCTCTTGCAGTAAACAAAGTAGATCTTTTACACTTTCTACAAAACACCTCTCTAAGAGCATTTTTGTCAGTCACATCCATTGTGAAAATTCATTAAAAAAATAATTGAACACAACATTCAAATTTCACTTTGGGGTGAAAATGTCTTTACTTAAATCTCTTGTCATTCTATTTAAAGAAAAGCTGTGAATAGTCGCAATATTAAGTCTTTCATTATTAATATCTTATCTTTCTAGGCCTGAAATATTGTAAGCCACTTACAATGTATAGTAAAAGATAGCTTAGCTTGTAATATTAGGCTGATGGGTTCAAAGGGTTAAATCCTATCACATTTGATTATGATGATGCTGCACTTAACACCTGAATAATGTTAAGTCTTTTTTTTTTTTTTTTTTTTTTTTTTTTTTTTTTTTTTTCAGGAGCTCTGAGCTTTCTTCCTCTGATAAACATGGCATTAGACGAATATGAATTCCATAAAGATTCACAAAAAGCAACCAACCTTTTTAGAACTGCTGAATACAATTAGTGGTTGGCGTGATACAGAAAATATTTTTCTTTTCAACTGGTTAGTAAATGGTCATATTCTCAATCCATATTGGTAGATCATTTTTTTTCATTTTCACTTATGTTTTAATTTCATACTAAAAGGTATACCTTTTCTTTTTTTTATTGGAATCAGCAATGTTATGGCATCTCCAGTACAGCTTGTCCTTCTTAATGTAGAGACCATGCATTATTTGCAAGTGATGTGGTCACTTCGCAGTGACTTGAATGAAAATCAGAGAGACTTCATTATGTGCAGTATTGCATCTTGGGTTCAGGTAGGATTTCTTTTCTTTCTTTTTTTTAATACTATCGAAATTCTTCATAACAACCATGGCATTCTTTTCTAAAGGCTAAAATATAGTATAACTCCTACCCAGAACTTATTTTCTTGCAAATATGCTTTGAGAGATTTATTATCCTTCATATCTTGAAATTGCATGTGTTGTTATCATGGTGTTTTACCAAGGGCAAAGTTATAGTACAACTCTAGCCTGGATCTGGAGGGTTATCTCAAATCTCATTGTTCCATAGGGAGGGAAAAAATTTTAGTTTCAGCTCGGGTTTTTGGTAGTTCACTGTTGTAATCAGCTTATGAAATTCAAAGAAAAATAGATTAAAAGCTCAAAAAGTTAATCTTTTTTAATCTTTGTATATTTTTTCTTTTACTAAGGTCCTATTACAATTAATATATCATTTGGTGGAGCTTCAGATCCATCACTTCTGACTCTCTTAAGAAAGGTATATGAAATATTATGCATTTTTAATCTTTGAATTAATTATCTACGTTAAAACAATTTTAATGAAACAAAAACCATATCAGAACTATGAATTGTGTAACAAAAATATGGTATGAAACAAACATAAAAATACCTTTTTATTTCATTGTTTAGAAATAAAGTAACTATTATTATGCTGACTTATTTTGTCATAAATATACTGTTGTAGCATACCTATGGACGATAATGGGTATGTCTCCATTCACATAAATACAGTAGTAAACACTGAATGTAGGTCTGCAGTATTATCATTCATTACCAACCTTCATTTGATTATTCTATTCAGTAACCTTCCCTCGGTTACAACATATACTTTTTATGATTATGGAAGTACCTAGAAAAAAAATTGAAAAGTGTGGTTTAAGGACAGGGTTAGGGTTAATGTTTCATACACCTTGTTTACAATATCTAAAAGTATCTGATTAAATTTATTGAATTTAATTTGGGGAGTTGGGTGGAAGAGTACCTTATAGGTACTTATACTCCTGTTTAAAGTCTATATATTTTTTTAAAATCTGATATAAAGATGGTTTATTATTATTATTGATGTTAACTTTACATAACATTCTTAATAAATGATTTTTCATTAATTTTCATGTTTTTTAACAGTAAACTAAACTTCAACATACTTTATTACTCATAAAAAATTAAATTTTATCATTAATATATATGTTATAACAATATAATAGACAAAAATAATAAATTAACATTATGTAACAAACAATAACATTTTTAAATAAACTTTAGAGTGTAAAATTAGATTCTAAGAAAAATCTATAGAAGAAAAGTCTATTAAAAATTAAACAAGACATTAAAATTAATTTTCTTTGTAGCATTTGTAATAAGAAAGATTACCAAAAAAATAGGGTGACCATATTTGATGGCATATAAGGTGCATTATTTTATTTATTTATTTTTTTTTTTAAATGTCTTTTAAAATTACCCTGCATCTTATATGCCATATGTAGCTTTACTAATTTTACTAATTACTAATTTTTTCTTGATTTGCCCTTCTGAAATTGGGGTGCGTCTTATACACCGTCAAATACAGTAATAAATTATTTCTTTAAATCAAGTAAAGTTAAAATGTTCAAATTTGGTATAAGAAATTCCACATACTTTTTTTCACTTGTTAGAAACAGAAATACAGATAACACAAATATAAAGTTGATCTTGAGTGTATTTGCTTTTATGAATAAAAAAATAATAGAGAAGAATATTAAATTAACTTTAAGTAAAAAATTCTAAATTAACTTCCAACCAACAGGATCAAATTTCATACTTTTTCCAAGGGTACGCAAGTGAATGTAATGGATTCAACTGGAATTCAAACTTAGTTCTCCAGTCCCTCAATCTGAGCCGCTCCACTGTGCCTCCCCATTACTTCACCTGCTACTTTGTGGAAAAGATTCCCAACAGGATTCTTCCCTATTTGTTACAATCTCAACTTAATGTCTAATGTCAACATTTATTTTACTTTCATAATCTTCACTTCTTACCTCCTCCTTCTCCTCCTCATGTTCTTACAACAACCTCATTCAGTAATTCTCTACCTTGAGTGGCACTCGGGACTTTTATTGGGTGAACAATAGTAAAAAAAAAATAAAAATTTTGGTTAAACATCTGTTGAGATTTAGTCACCCATATTATGCTATTTATCTCCCCTTCATCTAACATAATTTTAACCACTGCTTCATCCAACTGTAATCTTTTTTCTTCATTTTTAGAAAAATAAAATATGTCCATGCAAGTTATTTTTCTTGACAAAATCCAAAGGGTCTGTTATGTTATTAGTCCTGACCTGGCATCTCAGCTTCAGTCACTTCCCCCACCACCACAATGTAGCTTCACTGTGTATTTTCTATAAATACTTTCATGACAATTGTTGTGATGAACTTTCCTCTTTGGTACTTCAATTTCACGAATTTAAGCACAGTACTAGATTGGCATTTAGGTCTCATCATTTTATTGTTGAAATGGCTACAAGTAACCATAAGTTCTATTCTAATAGTTTCTTCTCTGACACTTTTTACCCCTGGAACTCTCTTCTAGCTTTCTGCTTTCCTGTGAACTATGATCTTCAAAGATTTAAATGCAACATCAGCTGCCCTTCTCCTCACTAACATTTTTCTTTTTCTTTCATTCTCTGGAATGCCTTGTCTTAGTGGCATTATCACTTTGCTTGGGATGAAATGATTAAAAAAAACAAACAGGACAATGGTCTTTATTATTCTGGCAATGGCATAATCTCTGCAGACAAGTTTGCCCTTATTTTCTGAATTATCAATATGTAGAACCATTTTCCAAATCCTTCAAGAATAATTATGTATGTTAACTTTATGAAGTTTAGGGCCACAGCCAAACCATGCTAAGTAATGCTGCTGTGGTTTCTATCATGAGTAGTATATTTTTATGGGGATGAGTTGCTAGCGCCATGTCCAAATGGTTTTGAAATCAAAGTTGTCCTTCTAGACAGTTTTGCTTTGCTATTAACTCTGATCTATCTCTTTTTTTCTCCTCAATAACTTTACCAAGGGTATTTGTGCAAAAGTGAATGCAATAGCCTTGGCTGGAATTTTAACTCCACATGCTAATCCTACTTTCCATTTTGATAACTGCTACACTAAGTGCATACCCCACCCCACTGCAAAAAAATATTAAACAATCTATTTTACTATTATTTTAGTTTTTAGTTTCCATAAAATGGTACATTTCTCTACTTCATCAAATACATCATACTGAGTTCAGATTTTAAATTCATTTTCCTTTGCATTTTCTTTATTTTTCATATAAATTGAGTAGCACTGGTATTTCCTCTTTTGGCAGTGTTATGAATTCAATAAATTTACTGAAATCAGCCCAACCAATGCTATTATCAGAATCATATTTAATATTTAACAATGTTTATATTTTCCACTGACTCAATATCTTACACAAATATACACATTAGTACCAGAATTGAAACCATTGTCCAACTACCACTTTTTCTTTCAACACTTCTTCGCTACTTTCCACTTTGTCGACTTGGACTACATTATTGTCATCTTCTGGGAAGTTGATATTCTACAGAATTATTCTGCTGTTCATTACAATTCAAAATGCTTCTTGTATCAAATTTAACATAGGAATCATGATTCATATATGTATCTCTAACCAAGTGATGAATGTGAAGTATTTACTCCTAAAGTGAACTGAGATTAAATATCTATCATTTCCAATTACCACACCTGATCCTTGCTTTTCTTTACTGTGATTTCTTTTCTAGTATACCTCATCACCATTTATCATTTCCAGCAGGAGTAATTCAAATATTTTTAACACACACCTTTATTTTCTCATGGCTTAACAATGAAGAAATTAATGTCTTGCGATATTCATGTCATTTAAATTGATGAAGTTAACAATACAAAAATGAATGAATGACAGAAAGAGAGAAATGTTTAACAGCCATTTCAGTGAAATGGAAAAAGTTATCAGTTTCAAATCTTTTCTTTTGTATCCACTTCTTAAAATAATGATCAGCATTCATATTTATGATTGTCATTGCAATATTTTGTTAAAGTCGTTAAGCTCAAGTATTTAAAAATGCTATAGGGGTATTTTTATGAATATTATCGTAGAATTCACCATGAGCTTATTCAATCATTAACTGAAGAATTTAGATTCATTATAAATTTAAAATAGGAAAACCATGAAATTTTCACTTGTTAAAACTAGTTAATTTATTATTTTCCTGCATCTTCCGCATTTCCTTCCAACATTTGATACATTAGTAGATGACACTGGAAAACTAATTTCTGAACCAAAAACATGTTTCAGAATTGATTTCATATTGTGAGATTATTCATTAACACTCCCACTGCTGTGGATGTATTTAGACATCTTTATGAAACTTGCCTGCTTCAAAATACCATGAAATGTTGATCCCTAGTGTTTGTGTTATAAACTAACTAGTACTTAGTACTATTTCCAAAATGGCAAAGACATAGTAGTGTACAGTACAATTTGTTCTATTACATATTCTTATATTGTGTGTTGGGTGGTGTCTTTATCTTAATCTCTATTGAAAAGTATCTGAATGAAACCAATATGGCAGTATCCATGAGAAATCACCTTTATAGTCACTTATTTACAGTAAATGCTAATTTCCTATTTTCCCAAAATGGGCCAGCACAGCCATGTAACAATGAAAGTGTTAATAGAAGACATTACTAAATGAACATCACTATTTGATAATTTTCATAAGGACAGACAAACATAGCCATAAGTGTTTTTTTTTTTTTTTGTGGGGAGGGGGGCAGGACCAGGATTAATTGCACACACAGCAAGGTGGATCCTGCCTGACTGATTTGTCATAATGATTTGAGGTAAAGTTTTTACAAGGTTGGATGCTCTTCCTGACAGCCAAATCTGATACTCATGGTAGTCCAAGTACACCAAGTGTTTTTATCAGGCTTGGGACCCCATCCTAACACATGCGCGTACACACACACACACAC